GCTTGAAGTCCCGTAACTTCTTATGAATGGATGCTCACTTTACGTAGGGCAGTAGCCAAAGCACTTTACTCAAGTTATGAAGCATGATCCTTAAATCTTCCAGTAAGCTAAGGTATTTTTAAAGGGGAAAGTTTACCTTTATTTAAAATCCCAAACTGGGTAATTTCATGGTAGACTGAATATAAGAGCAGTGCAATGACATCTGCTGTGCCTTCCTGTGTAAGCTTTTGCCATAGGGTAGCTTATATCTGTGACTGTAGGTACTGGAAAATATAGTTCCAAAATTGCCCATGTTGAACAGGCTAGAAGAGGGCTTGGATTAGTAATAGATGAAAATTGAGGCATCCTTTTTTGGTGTGCTATTGTGGCCTTTCTGTTTTATATCCATAGGTATTATTTGACCTGACTAAATTTAATGTTAGTTTCTATTAATGATCCCTAGTATGAGTCAGCTGGAGGGAGAGTTTCTTTTTAGCTATTTAAAAAAACCCCCAGGTTGACTGTAAACAATGCTAATAATTGTTTTGTTCTTAAAAGATTTTGTATTAAGTGTTTAATGAGAGTAACAGGAACCACTTCTCTGCCTAACATCACTGCTGCTGGTGACCTAATGTCACTAAAGGATGTTCTGTTGGGTCATCTCTTCCTGCAGCCTTCTTGCTGGGGATTGACTGTATGCACATGTATGTGTGTGTGCATGCGTGGTTTGTGTGTGTATGTTTGTATATATATGTGCACATAAATGCAGTTACTTTATTTCAAAAGTGCTAGCTTTATCTCCAGTTTTGGTTGCCGTCCTTTCTGGAGGTCAGCAAACGTGACCTCCCATGTGCTGCTGTGATGGAGTAGTTTTTTCCTTTCATATGTTAACGCGCACAAGTGGATTAATACGTTGAAAAATTCAAAGCTAAATTGACTGCAGTACAGCATTTTCATCTGGGTAGCAGCTAATACCGGGTGCTGACATTTTCTGCTCAGTGTAGCTTTTGAAGTACAGATTGGAGCTGCGAGCGCAGCGCTGGCGGGCGAGTGGGACCTTCTGCAGCTGGGGGTGCAGCGGTCACCGTCCCCCGGCAGCTCGCTCCGCAGCCGCTCCGGGCGGCTCCGCGTCCTCAGCAGATCTGCTCTAGTGAAGGGGAATCCCTTCATAACTGCAAGCACCGGGCCCACAGGGATGGCTGGGGTTTGTTATCATGCTAATTTGCTGCTTTTTCTATCTTTCCTGTTGTCTCAGCCTGGCCTGTCAGTTGTTGGGTTTGCGCCGCTGTTCCTTAAACGCTACATTTTGGAGACGTTTGTATTTACAAGCTGCACTGCAGCTCTGTTGTCTTAAGGCTTTGACTGACCCTAATTGCTATGACACATGTAACTAATGATGTTTTGTACTTTCAAGGAGTGCACTAAAAAGGTGATGACATATGAGTTACTGAATAAGGTACTGTGCAACTTGTGCAGTAGAGTTTGTGCAGACCTGATGGAGCATAATAAGCAGTTTTCCTGTGCTCATACTTGTTTCCCGTCAGACTGGCCTGTCTCCAGCACTGAGGCTGCATCGCACACCGAAGGTTCAGAGGGAGAGAAAAGCAGAGTTCTAAACAGATCTCTCAGCTTGAAGAAGCCTAATTTGATTAGGCTTTGACTTGAGTCTCACGATTTGTGGCAAATATGTCACTATACGCGTGTGTGTCTACGCATGTGTGTGCGAGGAAGCTGAAAATGGGTGCAAGATTTAAAAAAAAAAAAAAATTTCAAATTTCAGATCGCCCTTTTATTTTTGTTTACTCTTCAACCACAATCTGATTTATGCTTATTGGAGTCTTTGAACTTCAACTCCCTTGAAGAATCTCTAGCCTATCGCTTTTTTGATGTTGCTTGAAGGGGGATGTGAGTGTGCGGGTGCGTGCGCTCGCATGCTGTGGTGCTCTGGGCAATTTCACTCCAGAGCTCTTCCCTTCCTTTGTTTAACCTATGACCTGTGAAAACAAGAGTTAATCAAAAGTTCTAAGGTAGCTAAGAGGAAGGGGAAGTGTTTGGTTACAAATTAAATATGAGCAAGTCATAAGCCATAAATCTTCAGTAGTGCTACCAGTTGTGCTACTTAAGTTGCATGTGGTACAGAAAGTTTTTGGTTATAAATTCAACCTCTGTGTCTTTGGAGGGGGTGTTTAAAGGCTGCCTCAAGGATTTGCTTTTTGTTAGAAAAAATCCACTTTTTTTTTTTTCCTTTTGGCAGAGATCTAGGAACAAATTCAGATAGCTATATTTCTTGATTTTTTTTTTTTTAATTTCTTTTTTTTAAACTTTAACTGATCACAGTTTGGTCCAATAAAAGCAGAGCTGTTTCACTCTTGAGTAGTAAACACGTAAGTGATGAATTAAAAGTATTGAAGATGGCAGGATAAATTCATTTTCTAACATATCCGAAACTTTCAGGATGAGAGAGATCCTGAATTCTGCAGTGATGAGAGATGAAAATTGAAGCGAGATTTTCTACATAATTTACACACTTTTGTGGTGGGCTCGTTTGGTTTGTCTTGTCTTGCATCTCTTGAGCAAGAGCCACACAGATCCTTGTGTACTGTGTTGTGTTGGGGTTTGCTTCAAATATCAGCTAATTTCCTCAACTTCAAAACTGTGAAGCTTCTCCCTCAAAATGGAAAGTTATTCTTAAAATAAGAAAAAGAAGCAGCTATGCTGAGATGCTAAACTGTTATTTGGAAAACATGGATTAAAATAAGGAAGAGTTAGTGTTAAACAAAAGACAATAATGAAGTTTATTATAAGATACTAGTGAAAAGAGAAAGCCGACAAGGAGTGAGCGAGCATAACATAAATAGGGTTAGACATTCCCTTTTGTTGTACGGTGGGTTTGCTGATGTTTTGACGTTGTGTGAGTATGAGACTTTATCTGGGCTATTTCTATAAGAATCATAGAGGCTATTTTCTAGGTGCTGAGTGAAAGAATTAAAATTGGATTTGAATGGGGTGTTCTCATGGATAGAACCTACAGATTTCTCATGTTTGGCGTAGGGGGGGTAATGAAGAGAACTCCCTCGAATGTGTGGTGGGGTAGGTTTAGCTGTGGACAAACAGGCCCCTGGCAGGACAGATAAGTAAATCTTCGGAGAGTGAGCACGGCCTGACCTCGGGTTCCGAGCTGGGCGATGTCCGGGGGGGTCCCCGCGCCGCTTGTCGCAGGCGGTGCCCAGGACCTGCTCTGTCCTCGCCCGCGGCGCCGGGCTCTCGGTGAAGTGCACCTCTGGCGAGCTAGAAGCTGAGGTAACTTGCTTTTGTTTATTGCTTTCATACTGACACGTACATTGTAAACACAATAATATTTTGAAATATTTTAATTCTGTAAGGGTAGTTTTCCAGCGAGGTCCCTGAGCAATTAAGTAGAACTTTGAATATGCCTTCCTGAAATAAGTTCTGGTCCATACTCTCGGGGACCTTTCTGCTGCCTTGGTTTTCTGTCTTTTCAAACTCTTTTGATAGATGCCTTGCAAGGATTTGTTTACCAGGTTCTTAATCTCTACTTAGCAGATATGTTTTGAGAGGATTTCTTGTTACTTTTGTAATGGCTTTTAACTCTGCTGAAGTTTATTTAACTAAACAGAAAGAAAGAAACTTATCTTCTAAGTAATCCTTCTGGATTGTTTACAATATAATGCCAAACTTAAATGCTGTTTAAAGTGGTAATTGTCTGTCTTTCTCCTCTATTCTAATAGATAGTTTGTAAAGATGCTTAGAGCATATTAATTTAAATGATAATACTGTCATATAACATGAAAAGTTAAGTTGCTTATCAGTATATTTTGATAAGCTACTTACATTTTACAGTAGCATTTGCAGGCTTCAAACAAATGTTAATGATGGAGTGCCATTCCCTTTATCTGTCTCATATATAGCTTCTCACTTCATTTATTACTAAAAGCTATACAGTTAGGAACCATGGGGCACTCAATTCTTTAGAGTTGTCAGGATGTAGTCATATTTTATAAAAACTTTAAATCCTGTCTAACTATATCAAAATAGAATCCATTTGCTTCAGAAAGCATCTGTGATTAAAAGAGGAATCAGTTTGTGCGTCACGCAAACTTGCTTTCCTATTCGCTGCAGCTGAGGGGAAATTCCTTGCCGGTATTTAAAAAGAAGTTGAAATGAAGAACTGTGCCATGAAAATAGGGCACAAAATCATACCAAAGCATACTGTAGTGAAAAGTAACATCCTAGCTGTCTGTCTTATTTTATGGAATGGAAATGTAATATAAATGAAAAATATGTGATTTTTCTGCGTGTTTGTCTTTTAATTTTGTTTCTTTATTTCTTTTATAAGTTGAGTACAAATTTACTGAACGGAAAGTTTCTATTTGACCTAACTGAGGGCTGGGCTAAATGCAATGATGGGATAAGATTTGGCAGCAGTTAAAACCTGAGATACTGGTTGTGCAATTTAGGAAAAAAATCCAGTTGTATCAGAATTCAAAACCATAACAGCGGTCTGTCTTCAGTTCACTAGGACCCTCAGCAGCTGTACAGAAGACCGATCATTCAACATATACTTTGGAAAATAACTACGATTAAGAACGTTCCACCATACATGAACATTAGTTTACATTTATCTTACCGGTTACAAACTTCCACTGGATCGTGTGTGTGTTGTGGCGGGGGTGAGAGGGGAGGGGAGCTCCCGGTGTGAGCTGCTGACAGCCAAGTGTGTTTCTGGCTGGTGCTACATGTGCCCACACGTGCCTGGAAAAGCTGGGGAAGGGTAAATGCTGGAGCTCAGTCCACAAAGGAAAGGGATGCTTCAGCCTTCTGGCAGTGTTGTTCTTCAGCTGGAAGGTCTGATGTGGCTTTTCTAACAGACATTTATAAAGTGTCATGTCCAGTGGAGGCTGTTGTTAGGATGCATCTGTGTAGTAAAGGCCAGCAATCTTGAATTTATTAACTGAGATTTAGCAAGTTAAATGTATGCTTTTTCTTTTTTTTTTTTTCAGTTACCTCCCATGGTTTGAAGTCTTTTATAAGCTGCTCAATGTCTTGGCAGATTATTCAGCAAAAGGACAGGTATTATTCTAAAATACTAACCCTTCTTTTCCCTGCCCCGATACCAAATGAGAGAGGATGAAGACAAGCTGGTTTAGGAAGTTCATATATTAGAGACGACAATGTGAATTATTAATCTGTATGATGCAGTAACATAGAAGATCATATTCAGTCAAGCTGAAAGCTTGGCAAGTGCCTTTGAAAAAGAAATATGGTTTCAAATTATTTTGGGGAAAAGATGAAGTCCAAGAATGTGACTGTGGATCCAACACAAGTTAGTGGTTTCCCTGCAGTCACCCATACTGTGCCGACTTCTGGATCGCCTGAACTGTATTCAGCACATCCATGCAATTCCCGCATTGCAGTGTTTCATGAGTCTTTGACAGATGTCCTATCCAAGTTTACTTGTCACGTAAAGTAAGTGTAGAACTAAGCTTACTGATGCAAAATGCTTACCCATATAGCATCATCCAGCCTAAGCCCTTCAGGTGGTGTTTTGCTTTTAAAGCAAAAGAAAGTAAAATTCAGTCTTGAGACAGTGAAAAAAGTGTGAACTAAGCTATTAAAATTTGCTTCTAGGTTTTATAAATGATAATTCATGATACAGAGAAATCACATTATATGGTTGCAACAGCTAGCCTAGTTTCATGTATTTGAAATATTACAAGTATAATCTACCCAGTTAGGTTACTGCTTTGATTTATTACCATTTTGTGGTAATAATTGTATTTTACATTTGTCAGAATCATTCGCATGTGAGATAGAAGTACTTAGGATCACATCTTCATCTAGGTTGATACATTTGGGTTTGCCCTAAGCGAGGGAGTCGTTATAAAGAACTTGCTGTGAAACCTGGCTTGCTCTGAGCTGAGTATGTAGTGCATAGGTTGGTGACTCAGTGGGTTGCAGAAATATGTAGAAATACATATGAAAAAAAGTATTCTAAAAAAATTATGTTATAAAACCCAGCTGTCAGGAGCAACTACATTTACTTCTGTTCACAGTCTAATGTATAAATCTGTTTTCACATTTTTCTTTACACTTGCAAGTTCTCTAAGCCCCCAATTCCACAAACATTGCCCTTCCGTCTTGGAGTTTAGCTTGTTATAGCAATGCCTACTTAGTGTTCCTTTTTTTTTTTTCCCCTTTTTTTCCTTTTTTTTTTTTTTTTTTTTTTTTTTTCTCCTTCTTATTTCAGGATAGTCAAAGGAGTGAGCTCCTAGAAACATTTCATAAACTTACCATCCCTGAGCCAGGAACCTCTGTTCATCTTGGAGTGGTAAGTGAAGCGGGAGAGATGTAAGCCAAGGTGTTTAATTTTCATTACATATCATAATAGAGGAATGTCAAAAGCAATTTTCCGTTTTGGAACTTGGTACACAGATGTTGTTTTCCTGTGAGGACACAGAGCTGTGAAATTCCCCTTTTCACATTTGGGGCCCTCTGTTTCCCTTTCCTTAACCTCTGATGTCTTTGAAATGCTGGTCTTTGATTGGCGGAAGATGGTGTATATTCCCCATGGAAATTTCTCACCATATCGTCTGTGACCTGCGAGAGGTCACAGAGCAGCAACATGACATTTATTGCCCACACTTCTGCAGAACTCCTGGATCTTGCAAGTATGCAAGGGGGACAAGACTGGAAAGCAAACAGTCACGGACCTGTCATAGCAGTGTTTTGAGTATTAAGTGTTTATCACATTTTCTAATTCCTTCTCTTCTTTCTTCCCCCAAGAAAAAAAACTCACACAAAAAAGGATTTATTTAATTTTTATATCTTGTGAGAAAATTAATCAAACAACACTGAAAGAATAGGTGTGAGATTTTATTGGTGGGATTGTATTTTGAATTTAATCTTTTGGGGTTTTTGTCTCCAAATTAATTTTTGCAGAACAACCTTATGTTCCAGGCTGCAGCGAAAAAATGCTTAAGATGCACATCGCTGCAGTTGCCAACTAGTCATTTAGAGTTCACATGGAAACTAGTGGTGTGTGCAGCCACAGTTCTCTTCTCCCTCTCATTTCCTTTACTCCTTCTAAAGTACTTTTTGGCAACAAGCAGCTTACTCTCATCACTTCACCCTGTAATGTCAGTCGACAGGTAACAGTTGTTTGGCCTTGCTGGGTCACCAGCTGGCAGTAGACGTGTCCCAGTCCTCCTGAGGCTGGCTCTTTTACAGACAGCGTTTCTGTTCAGGGGGACGAGCTGTCTCAGAAGGCAATGATCAGTTGGGATGTTTCAGTTTTTCATACCAGTGGTTGCAAGGAATGCTGCCGGTCTCCCCTTGTCTCAGACATTTCATGGGTGATGAAGCAAGAAAGGATATAAAAAAGCAGCCAAGGGACTGTTAGCTGTGGTGTTTTTACACATTTTATTTTCGCTGTTTACAAGGTTATTTTGGGCTCGGGGTGAGGTTCCTATATATGATATCGTTGTGTATACTACTCCTATATCTTTACATTGCATCTTTTCAACCAAACTAAAACAGTGATATATCAAAAAGCAAAAATTTGTGTTTATACATTTAGTGTCTATATTCAGTATAGCTGTTATACCCGCTTGCTATTTCGGGTTATAGACTGTTCATGAAGCACTGAAATGTCTGAGATACATAGACAAGAAAATTGTGCCAATTGTGGAACTATGCCAAGAATACAACAGCCTTTAAATCTGCAGCAAGTAATTAATAAATATCCCTACGACAAATTGTAAAAATCTATATTTTAAAAAAAATAATATAAATTGTATACAACATTGATTTATAAAAGGAGTTTAGTCACATTCTTGTCTTTGCTTTCCCAAAGCCCTAACCAAGAATCATACAAGTTATGAACGGTCAGATTGGGAAATAGAGTGAACTTGGCCTCTTGGAATGCAGACAATTCAAAAAATATAACGATATCGTGGGTTATGGAATTGTGAGACCAGTACAGTCTTTCAAAATGTGATTTTTCTAAGGCATGTAAAAGTGACCTAGAACTTTAGTAATATTTTTCAGATAAGTAGGCATAAGACTTTAGGAAGCATTTCTCAGTAAATTTCCACAACTTCACCACGGTCTTGAACGACACTGGTGCTGTAAGTCAGAAAAGGACCTGCTTGCTGTTGTTTCCTGTAGTCTGTCATGCAACCTGCAGCAGGCTGTGGAAAGATGGCTTGAATTATAGACTGGCTCTGAGTTTCCTTGGCATATGTCACACATTGTGTGCGTCTGTCTATATCAGTGTTTCTGAAGAACAAAAAAAATGTAATATAACTTTTCAGGAGCATTTGATACTTTCGATCTTAATGCATTTCATATTGCATGTGTGCTCTGAGAATCCAGCTTTTGAATTTCATGACAAAGAAGTCATACTGGTGGTTGGTAACAAATGTTCTGTCATTTTTACTTAGCTGAGCAACTGCTATTACTGCTGTTACTAATACCAAGCAACAAATTTGGATTGCTTTTGACAATATTGCAATAATCAATATTTGCTCTTTTTTTAGCACTCTTACTTTACGGTGCCTGACGTCAGAGAGCTTCCTAGTATACCTGAAAACGTGAGTACTCCAGAGGGCTTCACACTTCACCATTTCTGTTCAAAGTCAGCAGCGAAATAGATAACAATTTTTACCTCTGCTTGCCCTGGTAATAGATAATATTCTGTAAAATATTGCTAGATGTTGAAGTGAACTTTAGGTGGTTAATTGATAAGTATTGGGTTGAAAACATTGTGATGCTAACTGCAGCAGTACATGAGTAACAGGCCTTTCGGAGTACAACATCACAGTAGAATTTAATGTTTGCCATTTTAATTAAGAAAAGATACCAAATGAACAGGAAATGAACAACATAATTGTCTTAAGCTGTAAACCAAGATATTTCTTTTTTAAATATAAAGCTTTTATTATTATCATCACCTCTCTATTATTACTTACTGTTAACATTCCATGATTTCTTGGCTCTAATAAGTGAGGAAATTTAAAATACGTATCTATAGTTTCAGCCTACTCAAAATTTAGAAAGAACAGTGATTTGGTAATAATGTAACAGTATGGTGGCATTTCAGAGAACTATGATGGAGTCAGTGAGTGAATTTTTCTTGAAAGTAATCTCAAGGCAGTTTTGTGATTGCCATTTGAGTGAGTACTACAAGAGTCATCCTCTACATAAAAACGCACGTTTACAATAGAAGGGAATTTCATCCACTTTACCAAGACTTTATAGCAAAAAGAAGACAAGAATCTGTTGAGGTGTTTCACCTTTATAGCTAACTTGAATTCAGGGTCTGTTTCCTTTTCATAAGTTTCAAAGAACTGCAGTTTTAGAAGAAACTTAATTTCACTGCTAAAGAAGCAATTCTTTTCTTCTGCATCTGGATTGACGTCTTGTTCTCCCCTTGCTGACCTCACGCTGTTTACACTGTTTTGTTGGTTTTCTTGGTGAGTGAGATTGAGTTCAACATGAAACTGAAACTAAAAACTAAACTTGGGAAGGAATTGTTGGAACCTGCTGCAGAGGTAACATACTGGTTGGAAATAAATTTATTTGAAAAAATGTTTCAATACAATATGTTGGTTTTATTTATTAAAGTGTTATGGCTACTTATTAGTCAAGCCAAAAATATAACCTTGACACTCGGTATCTTCAGTGGAAGAGTTTGATGTTTCAAACATCCATACTGCTAGTATTTAAGAAAGATCAAATAACACTTTGATATTAATTTGCCGTGTTCTTTAAAAGACTGTCAGAATTCAGGTATCATATATCCTTACTTAAAACATTTTGTATAGATTGAGATGAACGTCTAGGGTCTCTGCTTTAAACGTGCATTATTAGCTGTAGTTGCTCAGAAAGTCATTCTTCCCTTTGAGATAACATCTTCCTTCTGTACCGTATTTACACAGTAGCATTCAGGAGTTGACAATCTGGATTTGTGATTAAAAGCTGAACTGTATTAAGGATAAAGTACTAATGAACAGATCAATATGGGTAGAAAAAAGTAGATGTGCTAATCGTACAGTGAGACCCTTCTGAAAGGATGACATGAGACCAGTAAAAACGATCCATTTGTAAGATGGCTTTCTGAAAATGTCAAGGATACCTGGTTTCTTTAGGGCCACTTTTTTAGAGACTTTTAAAGCCTCACAAAGTTGTCTTGTATGTGTTTCAGCATGCCTCAGATTTCTAGCCAGATGATAGGTCTGTGGGAAGACAATGCTGGCATTTGCTTCTCTTCAGTACTCTTTAATATGCTCCTGCTATGTCTCTTAGCCAAATTTCTATGCCTGACATCTCAGTTTTCTTTCTCGAACATTTTGCGGTCTGCCTTAGCACCATAAACCTCAATTTATGGAATGAAAGAAAACGGAATCATCAAGGCATTTAATCTCATTTGTGGATGATTTGTATAGCAGATAACATTTGGGGCTTTTTGTTTCTGTTTTAAAACATTGTTGCTAGCTTTTCTGTGTTGTAGGCTTTTCATACTGACACGTATCCTGTCAGTAAATTTAATAGATGTGCTCTTTTTTCTAAGGTGCTTTATTTTTGTAGAAATATGATACAGTAGGAGTAATTCCAGAGTCAGTTCCCGAATCTAAACCAGCTACCAATTCCTAGCCTAATCCAGCCATGAAGTTACTTGTTTATGTGGTTTATATTTTACATTCATCTCTTTCACGCTAATCATCTCAAACTTTAACAGTTTTTGTTTGATAAGCCTCAAATCGCCTGGAGAGGAAGGGAGGAAGTTTATTTCCATTTTGCAGGCCGTCAAACTGGCAGACAGAGAGAAATGAGCTAGTAATGGTAAGAAACCGGTGGCAGGGATTAAAAGTAGATCATCTGCCTTGGGCCTGCTTTAACTGATATGGAACAGCTTAATAACACAGTACACAGCAAAGGCTTCAGGAAGTGTAGCTGTAGTTATGCTCTGTTGGTTATGTCTGCTGGTGATGTTCGCTTTATATTCAAAGGTATGAGTCAGCTTCCCAAAACATTTGAGCAGGAGACATGATGAATGCTCATGAATCAAAGGCTGTTATAAAAGCAGAGGCCTTGGGCCAGAAGGAGCTGGAAACCCTTTGAAAGCTGAAGGCTGAGCCTTCGTGGGAGGGAGCGCCATGTGATGCTGAAAAGCATCCTCTTTGAATCGTTGAGTGGTGCTGATGTGCCTCCGAGGGAATGTGACTGGTTTGCTGTAGGGATCCTGTGCAGCGATGTCGCTGTGGAGGATGGACTCTGTGCAGTGTCTGGGGTGAACCAGGGCACGTCTGGGAAGAGAAGCTTAAGAACGTTTCATTCAGTTAACAAATACGTATGCCCGTGTGTGTATATGTATACATATACACACACACATATATATATATATGCACACACACCCCCAAACTGGAAAAGCTAGGGCTCATTGTAAGAAAGAAAAATATTAAAATTCAAATCCACTGGTCCTATCTTCTATTTCTCAGGCATTTTGTTTGTTTTTGGTTTGTTTGTTTTTTGGGTTTTGTGTTTTTTGTTTTTTTGGTTTTTTGTTTTTTTTTTTAATGCGTATGATGTAATTTCTTATGAGGATTTTATCTGTCTGTTAATGCAACTTTCACATAGAATTGAAGCGTATTAGGGAATAATAGGACATTAAATGAGCATAAGCCTTCATGGATTTTAATCAATTGACCTGATTTATTAAAAATTCTACATATCTTATCAGTAATTAAATTTTAAAACACATATTAGCAAAAGTTTTAGTAGTGTCAATCTTTGAAGTTGTATGTAATGATTAATGGAGAGCTGCATAGAAGTCTATTTGGAACGTTAACAGACTTGGAATTATCTGACTTTGTCAGATCAATACGTTTAATGAGTCACAAAAACATTTAGAAGGGATGCTTTTATGTAACAGCTAAGTATTCACTTTTTCCAAAAGATTTAAGTTATATGAAAGATTTGTAAATGCCTTGTGACTTCAGAAATAAATCGGGTTCATTGCAGGAAATACAGTGCAAGACTGTAAATTCCCTAGTAGTATCCGTTGTGTTTCAGAAATCAGATAAGTTAGCAGTCTGAAATGGTGACATTTTCTTGGTGATGATGTTTTGGTGCATTTTTGTGTCACTGAGTCCTATATTTTAAAATGCCTGATTTTTCACTCATTAGAATGTATGTCTTTTGCTACCTGTTTGTCTTAAAATTCTTCCCCCCCGCCCCTTTTATTTCTACATTTATACCATTTGATAAAGTGTCTTTGCTATTTTGTTCTCCCAAACAACAGCATGGCATTATAAAATTTCTATTCTATTTCAAATTTCTATTCTAATTTCAATTCTCTTGACCTGTTCTAACAGGAAAGTTACTGAAGTCTTGTAAATGAAGCCCTTCAAGAGCAGACTAAAATAAGTGAATTATAATCCATGTTACTATCTATGTTTGAGCTTCACTCTTTGCAGAGGAAATTGCTTGTTGGTTTGTTCCTTCAGTGAGAAATTCTTCATTAGATGATGGAGGAAGAGAAGTACATAAATTTTTCTTAAATCTCAAAAGTCCATGTGCATTTACTGATACTAGATAGCAAATAATCAAATAGATGATTGATCTAGGAATGAACTTTCAAAGGAGCATAGGGGAATTCTGTAGCACTCTTAGGGAGTGGGATACCTGTTCCCGCATTTTATTTTGAAAATCACACTTTTTACTCCCCCAGGAAAGCTTTAAATCCTAGGAAACAAAATACACAACAATTATACTGCAAATTGGAATGCTTTCATTTGTATTTATTTAACTCATTCATGGTTTTGTCACTTACTAGACATGTCTTTCAAAATACATGTGTAAGTCCCAATTTCATCTTCAAAGATGACAGCTTTCTTATAAATAAAACTTTGAGCTAACACGTGAATTTCCTTAGTATCAATACATTACCATACAGCCCACATGCTTCGCAGGTGTCATTGGCAAATTTCTGAGAGCAGAGAAGACTAAAACCTTATAAATCTTTCCATCTGAAGGTACATTTGTGTATCAAAGCCAGTATCTCGCTACACTAAATTTGATGAAAGAATAATTGTAAATCAAATCCTGGTGTCTATTTTCCTTTCACTAGTGGATACCGTTGCCTTATAAACATGTCCATGTGCATGCATATCTACATCTCCAGGCAGAATGCAGGGATTCTGTGCTCCTTTTGCCATGCCTGTAATTTGGGTGGCATCAAAGGGAGTTCAGTGCTACTTAAAAATTCTTTTAATTCACACTATTTGCAGTAATTGTGTCGTCATGCACTGTGTTTTGGCGTCGTGGAAGGATGGGTGAGAGGAGGAAGAAGAGCCGTAGAGAAGACAGCTTATGTTTAGACAAAAATATCATGCTAATCAGCACAGATGGGATGAGAAATACAGAAAAAGTACATGATAGTTTAATAGGTTTTTGGCAAAATGTGTTGGCTTTTTTTTTTCTTCTTTGAATATACCTGTCTGTGGCTATAGCTTTTCTGTAACAAAGACCTGAATGATTGTTTTATATTAACACGCTTGAAGCTAACCATAATGAGCTCAGTTTTTATCTATCTACATACTGGTACAAAAGTCTTCCAAATACAATGCTTAATTTTTCTTTAGTTCTTTGTGTTTGGATGGCAAGCTGTGGAACATATTTTTGCACAGTATGAAGCATCTTGGCAGACTTCTCAGGCCAAGTATTGGTGGTTTTAGAGTTATCTTTGGATCTGTCAAAAGTGCTAATAGGCTTTGTTGAGCTTCTTTAAGTTTCTAAATCATATTTGCTTTTTGCTTTTCTGCACTTTTTATTTAACGATGATTAAGATTGCACTTGAATTCATGACTAATCTAATTTTGTTCTCGCATGTGCTTTTTGTATATGACTGTCTTTATCATATAGCAACCCCTTCATATCTGGAAGAAGCTATTTGGAAACAGATTCCCTAATTCAGCATTTTTGGGTGTATTACCTTTTCCTTCACCCCCCACGCTCCTTTCTGTTTAATTTATATGTTTCAAGAAGTGAAAATACCCTTTACACACAAAAATCCGTTTTTGTTTGCCTTGCACTGTAAAATCCCTTCATTCTAGGAGAACATAATACATTTTGATCAAGTTACCTACATGGTGGCTTTCTAGTTTTGATAGTGCAGATGCTAGGATCAGATTCTGCTGTTATTAGAAGATATCTTAAATATTTAGTAAGTGATACGTGATTCATGCCACTGCAGCATGTGCACAGGGCAGTTACATTGGTAATGATGAGTGGATAATGTTGCTGGCTGAAGTGGCCATAGCCCCTTGTGCAGCTTGCTCTGTTTTCTTTTTTGAATGTCAGTTATTTACAATAATTTTTACATAAGTACTTTTTAATACTCTATGCAGTGAAATCATGGAAGAAACCCGTGTTGCTTAGGAAGTGTGTATGTAAAGTTTTGGTGCTGTTACTTGCGTGTGTCTTGGTCTTTCTAGCAGTACTTTAAAGGCAGATAGCAAATGTGCTTTGCTTACAATATTCTTCTACTGCAATTAATTTTCTTTATACTGATCACAGAAATAAAAGTGGATGTTTGAATTCTGTCTCTTCATCAAAGATGGGGATCCACTGAAATTCTGGGAGAGAGAATTCTCTGTCTCCTTCCTCAGTTTCCCCTGCCCCCCAAGGAAGTACTTTCCTACTTCCACCAAGGGGAAACGTGTATCTGAATGCATGAAGTGAGGAGTTCAGACAACCTGGGTAACCCTTTTTAGCAGAATTGTTCTAGCATAGACCGATTTTGTCATATTAGAATTGTTCTCTAGGAGAGCTGGTTTTATTGTGAGATTTTTTGGGGTACTTTATCAGGCAGCTTTGAAGTTTCCATAAAAGTGACAGAACATTTTTTTCTCAGAGAAGAATCCTTTATTTAAGAAGCTGTATGTGAAATATCATCAATTTTATTATTCCAAGACTTAGCTACCCAAAAGTTAGGGGAAGGATACTGCAATTAAAAAGTACTCTGATGTAAGATAACATACTGCTTCCTTTTGTTCAGCTCATGTACTGGATGTAGCATAATAGGAGAAGGAAATCTGGTTATTTTTTTTGTTAAAGATACTTGGTTTTGTAATATCATGATTCAAAAATTATTTTCTCTCTTCCCAGAGAAATCTGACAGAGTATTTTGTAGCAGTTGATGTCAACAACATGCTGCATCTCTATGCCAGTATGCTGTACGAACGCCGCATCCTCATTTGTTGTAGTAAGCTGAGCACTGTAAGTAAAATGCGGAATAATTTCTTCTATTCACAGTACTTTTTTTAAAATGACAGTCATATATAGGAAATGATCTGATGATCTCCAGGTTCTCCTTCCAGCCTCAGCTAGGCAACCTCAACTCAATTCCGTGGTTCTTTGTGATGATTTTACTGAACTTCTGTTGGCCTCTAATGTTCATACGAAAAAGGGTTTTCTGGATGCAGGAATTCTTGGGGTTGTTTGGTACATAAATGTACAAACGTTTATGCTGTAGTGAAGTCCCTTTTTCATAATTTACTTGACAGGAACAAAAAAATAGATAAATTATATTGTCACATGGATGGTCCAGTGACGTTCTGCGGATGGACCGAAGGAGCAGGCTAAAATACATTGGCAATCCACATTTGTGCAGTTTTGTTTGATGAGGTGTAGCCTTAGTGCTACTTAGGCTCCATCAAGTGTCTGAGAGATGAAAGCCACTGGATACTCTAGAGTACTCTCTTCTAAAAATGGCTGGACATCAAAACAAGTACACAGCTTGATTTAGTTCAGAGTTCTGTGTTATGCATTTCAAGGTTTATCAGTCAATAAGATTGTGATATTCTTTATAAAAGAAAATGTTAAGTTTTCCTTCTGTTTGCTCTGTAAATGGGTATTGATTGCTTTCCCTTGTGAATGAGGAGCATAAGATGTTTTAACTAATTTTGCCTTCTAGTGCTGTGGACTAAGTACTTGAGCGGTCCTTTCTAAAATACAAGGTTGCATTTCCATTTTGTATGGTATTAACTAGTCTCTTACTGTATGACCATGACCTACTTTGTGTTTGAGATTAAAACTGCTTCATTGAATTGCAAATACCATGGAAGGCTGAAATTATGTACATAAAATCATGTAAGGATGGCCTGTAGATACAGGGCAGAAAAATGAAAGAGTAAGAGTTTATACTTAATCTCAGAGTAACTATTACAATATCATTTTGAAAGGTAAGTAAAACTAGGAGAGTTAGTATAATCTCTGGGACCTATTAATAATTATTAAACATTTATAGTCAATTCCACATCTAACTGAAAGAATTTAAGTATTATAAAGTTTAAAATAATAGAAAACTTGTAAAATCTTAACTTTTATATCTGCCAAGTGTTCTGTGTCCTCCCTACTAAAATAAGGAAGAATACATTCAGGCCTGGTAATTGAATAAAATGGAGAGAGGTGTTTATTTTAGAAACCTAAAGAATGAAAAGAATAGTAAATTATCAGAGAGGAGGAAAGAAGAGAACGGCTATCCAAAGCATTTCAAAATTTGTGTGGTTGGTTGGTTTAATCTCTCCCTTTGTGACAGAGGCTGAGAAGAAGAATTACTTACCTGTCACTTTGCCTTCCTTAATGAGCCATTTCACAAGTAGGGTTGTGTTTTCTTTCCTATCTTTCTGCTATTTCTCTTCCTTTTGCCTCTGTCCAAGATAAAAGCATGTCTGGTTCTTCGGTAGGGAGGGGTATTCATACTGTGTGTTCTTATCTTACAACTTTATATATAAACTGCTCCAAGATTGGAGTGACAGTGTAAGACAGGTTTGAAGTGTTGGGCCGGAGCCAGTGATTCCTTGCCTGCACGCTCTGCTCTGCATGTTCCAGCAGTAGGAACAAGCTGCATTATTTTATTTCAAACTGTGCTCAGCGGAAGCCAAGACCTTGTAACTGGAAACGTACCAAACTGAGAATTCTCAAAGTAAAGTGAGGGTGGTGTGGTGGCGAGGGGGATTGGTTTCTTTGTTTGCTTTTTTTGTTTTATTTTTTTAGGGTTTTTTTGTTTTGTTTTTTAGTTTTTTAACAAAAATGTGGAAGGGACCTTTATGCAGTTAATTTCTTTTAACTTTAAGAGACATGGCACACTTCATACTTAAGGCTTGAATTTAATATCAGGTAAGAGAGAGAAAATCAAACAGTCCTGGATAGAAAGTCTTTTATGGTGGAATGAATTCTGTGCTATAGTACATCACATAAAATTCAAATTTTCATTTGAAATATCTCTAATATAGTCAAGTTGAATAAGATTTACAGATAACTGAGTGCAGCTGTGTTTATTAGCTATTTTATAAACTATGTATACTGTGGAAAAATTATTGCTGTTTTCTTGGATTTTTTTCTTTTTTTCCTACAAAAGGAAACTCAAATAATTTATCAAAATGTTAAAGCAATTACTAATGTGAAATTTCTTTACATATTCTGTGATCTAACTACTTGTGAAAAGCCAGATATGAACCAAAATGCATAAAAAAACTGTGCTTGGCAAAAACCCACCTGCTGGTGGGAGCATGCTGTTGCAAAATTGAAACGAGCTTTCCTTGCATCCAGTATCCTCTCTTCCATCATAACGTGCTCCTGCAGCCCTGCCGCAATGAGGTATGTTAACTGCTCATGGTAAGGGCAGCAGCAGCTTGTCTGTCATTATAAAAAGGTGGCTTACATGAAGCCTGATGACTCTTAAGAGTTAAACTTATGAATCTCTGTGATGTTTCTGTTTGGCTCCATCATACTGAGGCGAATTTCTTTACGTAATTTTTCCTGTTATTCTTTGAGTGTTAGTACAAAGCAAAAAATACCCTTCTGACATGGATATTCTTTTGTTCCTGGAAGTTGAGAGCTTGCTGTGTCACTTCTTCCATGTCACGGAAAGCTCTGATAGACAACCTCTTGTTCCCTGGTTGGTTTTTGATATGCCTCAGGGCTCTGAAGATAAGGAGATGGTGGTCCTTAGGAAAAGACAATATATGATTAATACCATTCACCAAATGTCCTCGTGATGCAACATAACCAAGAGCTTACACAGTTCTTGTTCTACAGCAGTCTTACAACTACTCTTTTAAATGGACAAGTTCTTCCTTCCCAGGAGCTCCATTGCTGTCCTTATGCATGCCAGTATAGGTCTTGACCTTCTTACACAGCCTTTACAACAGCCCTGCTCAATTCTTATGTAGCTCAGTCTTAAGCTTTCTACTTTGTTTTTAGCCCTGAATAATGCAGAAAAATTATCTTACAAACACCCAAAAGGTGGTCATTTTTTCCGGTATATATTGCACATTTGTAGTTATGGACTGCATCGGTAAAACTGTGCAGTGTATATGCATCAGGAGAGAGAGAGTGAGTGAAATGCACTGGAAGAAAATTGCATATTGTAATTCAGCATCAGTTTTTAACTTTTATATGTGTGACAAAATCCCATTGATTTAATTTGCTCAAATAAAGCTTTTAGAGAATTAAATATAAAACTGCAAAAAGTGAATTAGTGAATCAGTGCTTGTCTTAGCTATCTTTTTACATTCTCTAGCAACAGCTGCAGGAAGCTGAGGTAGTGGAACTAATCTTATTTCAAAATGCTGGATTCCTATAGTTTTGACAGTTGGGCATTTCTCAGGCTGCCTTATTATTAAGTGCTTGTTTTCTGTATGGCAATCACTAATCAGGTGAGGTCTCCAGCAAATATGCTATTTCTTTTTTATGAGCCCTTATCTTGGCAGAGTTGAAGGACAGTACTGGTGCTTACCCATGGTAGTATGTTATTTGAATTCATGCCAGATAGCAAGGTGGGAGTACATCTCAAAAATAAGTGACAGGTTCTGCTCAGATGTCTGCAGCGTTGAGCATTATGTCTGTTTAATCTTTTCTTGCTGAGTTTTAAAACCAATGGGAGGGGGGCTTGGAAGGGGCCTCCTTGTATTACTGAGTTCACTCCTCTACAGCACCAACCCTGTTATATCATAATACCAAGAACTAGTTCATTTGATCCTCATAAAAGCAATTTTTAAGTGAGAATTAAATTTTTAAACAGGATTTTTTCCAGACAGCTTTTTGATTTGGAGAACAGAAACAGAAAACATAAAGGATTTAGGAATGTAGAAGAAAAACTACAGTAGGAAAGCATGTTCCTTTTTTTCTGCTGCATATTTTGGAACTAGGCTATGCCTTTTGTCTAATATGTGAGAGAGAAACATCTTCTCCATTAGGAATAATATAAAGATAAGTTGAAATATAATGGGATAGGGATAAATCTTTAGTGTTTTGTGAGTCATAAATGTAGAGTAAATTCAAGAATTTTGTAGCTTTTAACTTTTGCTTTAATTAGTGTCTCCAACATACTTATATTTCCATCCCATTGGACCATAAAATAATGTTCACCTGCTAATAAAGAGCTCTCTTATTGAGAAAGGCTGAACAGGTACTTTTTCAGATACTTGCTGTACCCTGTCTGCTTCCAAAGATGCTCTTTCCTCAGGATGATGGTTCAAATCTAGTTTAAATTCTTTTATATTCTCACTTATGGAAACACGTTATCAGCACTGGGATGCTTTTGAGCTTTGTGGACCCTCTTGGTATGACATTTGCCAAATCAAGCAGTGCTAAGGTGAGGAGTGACCCTGTAGCTTTCATGGGAGACAGAAGTGAAAATCTGAGGGATATTAAGAGGGACAGACAAGACTGCACCCTCCAAATTTTATCAGTATTTCTTGGGATATTTTAATGAAATTGTGGAGATACTGAAGTGGGGGATGAAGATCAATAGAGATGAAACAGTACTAATTGTGCAGATGAATGTCACTAATTTGAGAAAATATTTGGCCAAATTATCTGTGGTTCAATATGGTAAAGAACTACTAAGGAATATAAGTCAAGAGATGGACATAATAGATAAGACAGGGGTGCAAACAGATTTTGCTTGCCGTTGTAGTAAGCGGGGCTACTGTACAGCAGTGAGCAGCTTTCTGTGTAGAGAAGCTTCATTGCTGCACACCAAAATGCAGCTGCTGAAGTCTGAAGGAAGTAAGATCAAAATTAATTCAGGAAGGAGACAAAAGAAGAGATAAGAATCTGAAGAATGAAATCTGATTTCAGAAATTTGTGTTTGGAGTTGAAAGTTGGGTGTGATAGCATTCCCCCTTAAAGAAACTACAGTTCTTTGAGCCATACTTCCATGAAAAAACTTGAAACCTGTTAGAATGAGGACTAGAACTAGTGAATGCATAAACAAAGGCTACTGGGGAAGAGCAAATATGACCTTTGCAAAAGAAACCCATGCCTCAAATCTTAAAAATCTTTCATAGATAAGATTGTTCAATGTTGAATTCCTCAAAGCTATTAAAGAAATTTTCATGACATAGGGAAGTTTGATCCTCTTGAGGGTAAACGATTGGCTAAAAGGTTGAGGGAATAAGGGTGAGAAAAAGTACTAGTTTTCCTAATCCTGGAAGTTTCTAAGCAGTCCAATAGTGCTCTGTTCTGTTGCTTGATCAATGTACTCATTAAAAACAATTTTATAACGGGAGAAAATGTTGCGTATCATGGATAAATATAAAATAATACTTATGGGAGAAAACCATGTAAGCAATCATGGTCTGAATAACTGAAGTAATTATTACCACTCAGAGATGCTGGAGTGTTCTTTTAAAACAGAGAGAGATTGGTCTATGAAAATGCCAGCCTATTACTCAGTTGAAGACTTAAAAGCCAAGAAATTATTATGAAGTGAGTAGAGAACAAAAAAGAGGGCATAATGCCACTAGATATGTTCATGGCTTGCACACGTTGTGAATATTTCATGAGTTCTTATCTAGTCCAAATAAAAAATTACGAAGCAAACCAGTGAAAAGTACAGAGAATGGTAACAAGAACAAGCAAATACACAAATAATCTCTCAATTAGGGAAAGCAGAGTCAGTTAGAACTCTTCGCTCAGCCTGGTAGAGATACTAAGGAGGTAGGGAACTTGATAGAAATACAGAAAATCATGTTGGTCCTTAGAAGATATGGAGAAGATGATATTTTTATGTATTGTCTCAAAATGCTCAAAACGTGGAGCACGCGTGAAAACTGGGGGGAGAGCCTCAAAATGAAGAGACAGGGCAGCACTTTTCAATGTATTTTTTTTTAATTCATTGGCACGTGAAGTGTGAGCTGCAAGCTGCTGCGGACTGAGAAAATGGGAAATAATAATTTTATTGATGTATGTGTTAATCAGTGGTTTTAGTAATTTGTGTAGACTGCTGTTGGACAGAATGCTGGGGGGCAGGGGATTTTTGATCTGGTTTATTAGGCCATTCTTCTTCTTAGGTTTTCCTTCATTAGGTGATGGAGATGATTAACAATGTTCCTGAGTTCCAAACACACAGATCATTCATATATGTTAGCCACAGTAACAATATCTCTCAACTAGGTACAAGCTATAGCTTAAAGTTCTGGCTTTTCAACTTGAGGGGTTTTATGTCTGAAATTTTTATCGTTTAAGTCCTGTATGGGTTTACACCTGCCATACTGGGTCTTAGGTTCTAAATGATTTTTTTTTTTAAAATCTGTGTCTATTTTAAGCTGTAAGTTGCGAAGTATATTTCAGTTCCTCTTTATAGTCACTTTTCTGCTTTTGAGAAACACCTGCTCACAAAGCTCATACCTCCCTGTGCCTCTTATCTGAACCACACTGTGGAGGAGCACAGGGATTCTCCCCAGAAATCCACGTTCCTCGGTGCGCTGTCATTGCTTATCTAGATCCGCAGTGTTCAGAGACTTAAAAATAACACGGTACGTGCCTGTCTTCCATCTTCTTGCCTAATGACCTGCATTTTAACCAGAAAACCAGGTTCTGTTATTTACAGAAGCTGCATTGGAATTGCATAAAGGCTTTGGCATTGAACGTAAGCCAAACTACGTCCAGAGTTGTAGCTGATTTTCACTGACATGGAGCCTGAAGAGACTGTATTAGCTCATCTAGACGGTTTGCCTTATCAGTACTGGGCTCTGTATGATGAGGTGTATAATTCAGTGGTCTGTCTTAATTGAAATTAATAATAATTTTTAAGGTTACATCACATTTAAGTGAATTAGGATTTATGTCACAATTTTTTTTCCTAGTTTCATCTCACACAACTTCAGGCCACCACAAAGACCTTAGTCCTTTAGAATGTGTCTTTTCGGTATCTGTAAGCAGTGTTCTTCCTCCTTCCTGTTGTCCAGACAAGCATTATATGCTGGATTTCATCGTACCTTCAAATAACGGGTAGGCTTTTGCTGAGTGTTGTTTTCAAAATGCGTCTCACAAGCAAAACGCGTTGTAGTACTTGTGCTGGGTATCACTGGAGATTAAAAGACACTCTAAACTGCAAAGCACTGTCAGGGTGGATGTGACTGCCTGTCACCTCTTGGTCTTTTCCATGTATATGTCTACTTGTATGAGTGTTGGGATTTATTTATTTTCTATTTTCCCAAGTGTGAGTGTGTGTTCATATTCCCTTCCTATGGTATTTTGACTATAGATTTTGCTGAGATTTCCTTATTGAGGATTACTGCCTTCTCCATTTTAATATCCTTAGTGAATGTGATGAATATCCTGCTTATCTTCTTTTCCAAATTATTAATTATCATTTGAAATAGGGTTGAGAGATGTAATTTCCTCCAAAGCTCCGTGAGGATCTCCCCACGGCTTGACTGACACTTGTGTTTGCTATTTGTGATCTTTTCATTCAGTACCTGCCAACATCAAAACTATTCTGAGTGAGTTTTTAAAAAATATAACTGAGAAATAAAATGGATCAAATGATTTGGTGAAGGGCAATTAGATAAAAATCTGGTTTAAATAATAAAAATTTAATCGCTGAGTTTAGTATAATACATTCTTCAGAAACATGCCACTCACATTGTATCTTCCTGAGCTCAAATGCTTTTTCAATTTGTGTTATAATTTCAATGCAGTTTTATGATATTTAATGGATGGTAGTTAGCAGGACCGGGGGGATTTGCCTTTACTATTTTTTAGTTCCCTTTGTGCTTTCATTTCCATGTTTCTGTTGCTTTATAGAACACTGGGTGTTCTTTTCAGGTTTTGTTTGTTGAATGAATCGTGTTCTCAGCTGTTTACAAAGTCAGTTGAATGACAACCACCATAAACCAGTCATGCTTCACCCTCCAATACCTTTTTTTTAACAAGAGTGCTGTATATTTTGTAATAAAGCATGTTGATATGAAGGCAGAATTGATTCTTCACTTTTTTTCTTCTAACTTTACCTTTTTAAGCTTGGGTTTTTTCTTATTTATGATCCTGTTTTAATATGTGTTTTTCAGTTAACTGCCTGCATTCATGGGTCTGCAGCTATGCTCTACCCGATGTTCTGGCAGCATGTTTACATTCCTGTTCTGCCCCCACATCTATTGGACTACTGTTGGTAAGGCTATATATATATGTGTGTATGTATATATATTTTATATATGTATATATATCACTTAGATTCACAACAGTTTTCACATTTCTGTATAGTAAGTCTTAAGTCCTCTTATGATGCAACTGTTGCTCTAAAAATATATAGACATATTAAGGAAGCAATCAACCTAGTAAGTAAAAAAAATTATTTTCATGGCAAGATATAATTGTCTATCAGTATGTTGAAATACACTGATATGAGTGGTTACTGTGGAATGCTGCGACTTAGATATTGTGTAATTAAAATCTGTTTCCAGTGTATCTGTGTTGAATGTAAAAATTCGAATTAAGACTCCAACAGTAGAGGATACAGTGGAGAAAATACTCCCATTTTTCTGCTTTCTGGAACTTCTGTTGGGCGTCGGGGGGAAGCTATTAATTTTCCTGCAGTGATCTTTTATTATCAGTGTGTGTTTAGAACATGATATTTACCTTTTTTAGGGGAATGAGTATAAACCTGTCAAAAACTCACTCGTTGTTGTGATGTGACAAATCTTGGCACAGCCCATGAGCCGACCTCATCCAGTGTCGAAGCTGGCCCAGTTTCCCCCGGGAGCTTGGCCCAGTTGCCTGCCTGAGGTTCCTCCCACCCTATTCCATGATTCCCCGGTGTGCGGGTGGCATGAGCGGCCTCCCCACTCACGGCCAGGGGCTGCCCAGTCGCGTGTCAGTAGGCGCTTGTCTTGGACTCTGTGGCTGATAGTTCAGAAGCGTGGCTGCAGTGCCCCTCAAACAGTCTCTAAGTTTTTGCTTTCTTTTCTAGTGCAGTCGAACGGTTTAGCCTAATCAGCCAGAACGTCATCTCTCCTGTTTGCTGTGCACAGGAATGGTGGATGAGCGCGCTGAGTAATTAACAGAAGCAGTTTAAGATGCTGCTGCTTTTAGTTGCTCAGCTGTTAGGTGCTGCCTCCCACGCTCAGTTCGTCTAACTTGCCCTTTTTAATTCCCTCTGTGTACGTAGCAGGGAGATGAAGTTTGCCCAGAAAGAGTGGCCTTACCTTAGGCTTCCTAGAGAAGTTGAACTTGCCAACCCTGTTAGAGAGTTAATGGAATTGTTGCCTGGGCGTGCAGGGATGGCATTAGTAAGGCCAGAGCTTGGCTGGAGTTAAACTGAGGGATGTAAAAGGTAACAAGAAGCTTCTACAGGCTTGGAAGTAAAAGGAAAGCACAAGGAAATCGTGGACCTGCTGCTGCATGGTCATGTAGTCAAGTGCTGAAGGACACAGAAAAGGCTGAGGGGGGACTCAATGCCTTTGTCTTGACTGGCAGGGTCTACTGGCCGGCCTTCTGGGCCTCCCTGCGAGGCAGAAATGTTTGTGGGAGTGGGGTGCTTAATGCACTTCTGGGGGTGATTTGACAGCATAGAAACAGCCTCCCTCTGCTCCCTAGCATTTTAAAGAGTTCTTCTCAGAAAAAAAAAACCAAACTTAAATTTACTGTGTCATACGATACCATGCTTTAAGTGTGGCTCTTAGTGTGGAGGTTGGCTTGTTTTTTTAAAGAGTGATAGTGTTCTGTGTGACGTTTTCTCTGCATTTAAGCAAGGGTGAGGAACCAGCCGGGATAACTGGCATTTTTAAGCAAAGTGCTAGGAAGTGAAACGTGTAGATTTAAATCACCTCTGCAGGTGACCTAAATGTTAAGTATGGGCCTATGTGGAGGATACACTGAACAGAATCTAAAAACTGTTATCTCCTGTAGAAATGAACGTTCAATTTACTCACTGCCCAGGAAGGGCCGATCCCAGTCATTTGCGCTGCCAGCAGGTGCCCTTCCCCGGCATAATGGGCTTCGCATGGGTAATTAACACATGAAGGCGGCTGCTGCCAGCATTTTCTTCAGGTACATGCTGCTAGGAGTTTTCAGGACAACGATGTGGGCCACAAGAGGCTTTTACGCTGGGTTTGAAGATTAGGTATTCATCGACTTTCTGACAAAGACATGTTAAAAGGGGCTAAGTCCAGATCCCGCAGTTGGGAGCAGAAGTGTGCAAAAAGCAAACACTTGGGCAGTGTACCCAAGGAAATAAAGACACAAGTCATTGAGCTCTACTGAATGAATTCTTTCATGGCATAACACCCTGTCCATATAACGAATGAGCCAGCTAGTGTGTGAAAAGTATGATTTAAAAACGTGTAATTATTAGGCAGATTGTAATTGCATGCTCACAAATACAACTGATTACCTTAGCCAGATAGGAACTTTAATTGGAGAGGTAGCTACACACATTGTAATTGAATAAGCCAATTTAGCAACAATTTACGTACCATAAATATATTTCTCAGAATAGAGTCCATCTATTTTGTAACCATGTGAATAGAGATGTCATTTTTGCCTAGTAGGGCTGAGAAATCAGCTCCACGCTCTCTGCTTTAAGGTGGTGTTATTGCTTATTGGTGTCTGCCTCTAAGGCAAGTGACTGATTATTTAAAAGAAAAGAGTTGTTTAATGATTGCCTGCTTATTTATTTTGCAAATATGACATAAGAATTTTAAAGAGCTGAAATGGAAACAAAATTTAAAGTAATGAGAACTCTTCAGTTCTTAGGAATACGAAATACCATGTTTGTTCAGTTGACTGTGTCCATTTATTGACTGTGCTCTGTGATGCTTTAGAATCTTCTCCTGCTCATTTGAAAATCACAGGAGGGTATATAGACTGTATTACTTGTGATCTTTGAAGGTTTTTGAAAGAAGTATATTCCATCTGTGGTTATTTGCTTTTAATCATTTGAGTGGCAGTGAAACCTTTTCATATAAAGGAGACTTCTAAGGTCCCGGCTGAGATCCTGACAGCTCCATGGTTGTGGAATTTTTTTCCTGGGGAAGGGAGGAGGACACAACAACTATTGGAACTTTCCAGAGCTACAAAAAGGTAGAATAGTTCTCTTTGCAGAGAGAGAACAGGTAGAATAACTAACTAACTCTCCTCCTGCCACTGGAATATCCTTTTGGGCAACTTTATGTAAGAGAAACTCTGGGCTGGGTGTGGAGAGTTCCCTGTAGCTGCTGAGAAGCGCGCTTTCCCCTGTGGGGCAGGGGAAGGTGGGGGGCTGGACAGTGGTACAAGTGAATGGCAGCTCTATCCCAAACGTGCTCAGTATGAATCTGTTTCACTGACATTGTTTAAAACTTAAGTTTTTTCTATAGCATTTTGTCCTTTATTGACATTTTACACCAAGTACTTTCAAAATACTGTTGTTTCTCATTTATTCAGTTTGCTCTTTGCTATTTTTTTTTTTTTACTTATTATGTGGAAGGGGGTTAATTTTCTTCCCGTTTCCCTGTTGAAAGGATTTTTTTAAACTTAGTATTTACATTCACCTGCATTCCTCATTCATGTACCTAACTACAGAATTGAAAATGCCAAAAGCCTATATCTTCAAAATGCTTGTTCTCAATACACTTGCTTTTTGTATTAAAGATGCTGAATCAATAATAGTGGTGTAGTACCATGTACATGTATCAGGAATGCCTTCAGGCATCTGATCCGTATCATTTATATTAATTGAGGGGGGTGGCAGCAAGGGGAAAAGTGCTATCCTTACTTTTTTAATTAGGTACCATCCTTTGATATATTTTCAGCCCAGTGAAAGATTTTTGGGTGGAGGAGACTAGGAATTGGTGGGGATCCTATCACGAGATTTCACACCTTAATGCCCAATTGCTTGTTCCTTTGAATACAGAACAACAGAGGAAACATATGAAGCACTGCTGGTTGTTTTTTTGTTTTTGTTTTTTTCAAAAAAAAGTACATGTCAGCAGGTGCCAAAAGTACTGGTTAATGAGATCCTGCCACCAAGCATCAGTAGACAAGCACATACAACTACTTAAATTTGGCCAGATCCTGTCCATCTATTTTGTTGTTGGGAATCTAAACATTTCTTAATGTGAAAGAAACAGTCTATTAATTTTCCTCACTACTACTTGCAGTTTCTTTTTCATGTGGCATAAAAACACACCCACTGTGTCTGTTTTCTTCCTTTTTGCACTCAGTGTCTGTGTTTAAAATAACTCTGTAAGAAAAGCCTGTCTTTGCTGACCTGGTAACACAGCTTAGCATGTTCTCTAAGTCCCAGAGCATTGTCACTCGGGTTATTCTGTGGGCTTTTACCAGAAGCAACAGTATATTTTCTAGGGTGATTAAAACAGCCTTTTATATTAGATAGACTGCTTAGCCGCCAACATTAATATATTCTGAGAGCCACCTTCTTAGAGCACCCTGGCACAGCTGCTGAACAAACGTTTCTATTGGTGCAGTTTTTCCTTTCTCCAGGAGTTTTTTTTTAACTCCCTTTCTCCTGTTTTCTAAATCTGCATATAGTTCAATATGCTCCTTTAAGAAGGTGGAGGGGTAACTGGAGGGCGAGTACTCCTGCTGCTCAGGAAACAATGATTCCTTCGTCCTGAGCCTCTTGGTAGGCATTTCGATTTAGCCTGCTACATCTGTGTACTCACTACAAGCTCTCGTAGTTGCCCTTCTGGTTTCTTAGCTGTATGTTTTCTACATAATTTCAATTTATACAGTCAAGTTTCTAATTTGCATCAATTACCCCAATAAATTTCAGATTGAATTCTGTTGTGTTTCAATGAGTAATCTGAAGAGAAATAAGGAAGCTACCTTAGAGTAAAGTACTGCTGGTGTGAACGAGTGACACATTAAGTCAGTACTTGTATATCAAGACATGAACTTAGTAAATGTGATCTAATCAATTTTCCTGGAACAATGAAGCAAAATGGTGCGAATCCCTGTGTAGCTGTAAACTATGAACCTTTTCGAGATCCTTGGGTTTTATATTACTTTTTCTGGTGAATTGCAGCATTTTTTAAGGGTGGATTTTTTTCACTTAAGAGGAAATGTCCCTCTATTTCACCTACTTCTCTTCCAATTAGTAGTTGCCCACCTCTTGGGAGCATAATTAAGAGGTCTCTAGTTAGCCTAAGGAAAGGAATTAAAGAAATTGTAAAAATGCAACTGTAATAAATGGGCAATATATAGCCATTAAGTCCACAATATCCATATTCATGCTTATGCACTGCTACTTTAATGATTTGATATTTACCTATATAACTCATTTGATTATAAATAACGCTGATTGCATTGGGAACCACTGTAGCACAAGAGGAGTAATAACCTTTTTCTTTGTTACAAAAGACTTAGGCAGACATTTTGTTTACAGCAGTAAATATGCACAGTAGAAATTGGTACTGCTTAATTTTGCACTTCATGGATATTGGCTGCCATCAAACAACTTTGAGTAATTAGTAGTTGTGGTTGTAAGAAGCTCCAGGAGTGAGGAAGTGTCAAGCAGCAGGTAAAGACTGGTCTGAAGGGCAGTCTTTAATCTGCAATGGGTCCCAGAAGGATTAGAGGTTGCGCGGAGTGTTTCTTCTGTTTATACAAGCAATGGGTCTTACTGAAGTTCACTTGAAAGTATTGGAAATGCACACCTAACCTGATAAAATATTAAAAACCGCTTGAGCGTTTCATGTCTCAGGACCTGAATAGCAGCTAGGAAGAACTATTATAGTGTGCTCTGAATGGGGAAGAGGAGGCACGCAGTGTTCCCTTGTGCAGGACGGTAGTTGAGTATTTAAGTAATGGCATATGATTAACACGTGGTAAAGAAAAATTATGATAAAAGCCATTTATGAAGCCTGACATGAACCTTCAACATTTACTTTTAGGTGTGTTTCTTTTTCAGTCAGATTGATGACTGATGACAGAAGAATATAATCTCTCTGGTAGATGTTATTGGAAATCTTTATGCTCTTTACCAGAATTATATTTTATTGAGGTTATTTATGATGTTTGCTTAGTTAACCTTTTGGAAGTGTAAGGAACTATCATGGTGAATTATCCTTAAAATATCTTTGCTTTTGCTTTGCTGTTCACGTGTCATTGAACAGTAGTGTCAGTTCTGACAAACAAAATGAATTTTGATAAAATAGCCATTCAGATAATTTTGATTTTGATTCTCCATGGAGAAGACACTTTAAGATCCACATTTGGGTGATGAACGGTAATGTTTTTTTTAGAACAGTTTTGAATAAACAAATTTCACACAAATGCACCTTCAAAAACAAGTGCTCCACAGATGTATCATAGATCTGCTTTTCTCCGTGCCTGTTGCCCTTCACACAAACTAAAACCTGCATTTTGTTTCCAATGATTCTCTGCTGGGATGTTTGTAGATGCCTCCCATTTGACGTTCCCCCTTGGTGTCTTTCAGCCATTACAAGCAATGGCTTTTCTGGATTAAACAGAATTAATTTCATATATTCCCATAACCTGGGAAATTCTTTGTTAGTCTTCATGTCTAATCCATTCCTAAATGGTGCGTGTTTCTTCTGCTTCATGTCCGAAATGTGGCCTTGCTTATTCATCTCTGTAGTCCCAAGCATCTTTGCCCAAACTCTGAGCAGTCAATGTTTTCCCTCTGATTTCTGTAAGCCAAGCAATTGCTTATACATGCTGAAGAAGTTCTTACAGGAATTATTTTTGTATGGTTTTGTCAACCTTCTTCATGTACCTTCTACTGTCCCCATCTTTTCTTCTGCATCAAACATGCGATTCATCTTCTGGGGCCCTTCATAGCAGGTACCTTGTCTGCCTGTCATTCTCTGCACCAGTGCCATGTCCCCGTGCCCTGTGATCCAGTTCTTCACCCATGTGTTAAATGTTTCTCGAACAAATACCCAACGTCATCTTCTGTGCTCTACCTCGTTCCCTGGTGGAAGTCCCTGCAGCTATTTGTTAAACACAAATATTCACAAAATTAGTACATTACACTTGAACAAATTACTGCTTCAAAGTTTCCTTTTTCATATTGATTGGCAAAACCTGAGCTGTTTTTTGTCAGTGGATATGCTATGACCACTTTGTAGTTCTGTAGTATCACATTGTTCATCCTGCTTTCTCCTGTCTGTGCACTGTACAGCCCATTAAGCACCTGACCGGAGTCCTTTAATGTTTAGTAATACAAGTTTAAAGAAGTAACAGCTTTGAAAATGCTGCTAAGTCAGATTACTGTAGCCTTTACACAATCCCTGTAATAATTGTATATGCTGTATTGCCTTTACATATGTCTGTCACTAGAAAATCGAAAAGATGATTCATTGCATCTAAAGGTGATCCATATATCTTAAGCCATGTCTTTCCTGTAATTCCCTAAGGTCTTTCTGGGGGTGCATGGTTTTAAGGGTTTAGGCATTCTTATTATTCTTTTGTTGATAAACTGGTGGATTGAACAATGGACATGATACAGTTAATTAACTTCTACAGGTTCAGAGTTTCCTATGCTTGGTGTCAGACTCTCCATTTGGACACGTTAATAAATGGCTGGTTTTCTGGAATATTGCGCTCTTCCTGCTTCCTTTCATTACATTAGCCAAGGTTCCACTAGATGAGACGTTAGCAGTCTTAAGACTTCCTGCCGAGGTTCAGACTTTGTATTTTTGAGATTGAAGCTGTCGTGTTCATGAAACTACTTAATTAGAAACACATTCATTTCAGTGCATACTGGAGGAGTCCTGAGCAGCACAGCCAGGCACACAGGGAAGTTGAGCATTTGTGCAGCTGGCAGCTAAACCAGTGGTTTATACTTTGAATATAAAATTACTGGGTATTTTCTTGCTCCTGGAATGTGGCCATTGGAAGTGAAGAAATGTGGGTGAAAGAGATAGTGTTTGTCACAAATAAAACATGCAGAAGGACAAATAAAAATATTCCTCAGTTGAGCAGCAATCCCCATGTAGTAAGTGTGTATCATGTTGTATAGTAAAAATTTCTCTCCAAGGACTTGGGTGTATGTTCTGGTTCTCATCTGTGGAATTCCCAAGGAAGCAGAACCTTCAGGATTTGTACCAAGTTAGCCTGTGATTTAACAGTCCCTCTGGGCTAGCCCTCCTAAGGTGCTGTACTGGGTGAAGCTTGGGCGGGGGCATTCATGCCAGCCTAGGCGGTTCGGTAAGTCGTAATGTAATGTGATACACGGCGCTTCAGTAGTCTACAAATGAACCTTTGTAAGGTTTTTTGAAGTTACATATGTTTCATGTCTTCAACAAGAAAAAAAGTGTTTTCATGTAGAATGTCTAATACAGAAGCAGTTTCCATCTCTTGGTGCAGCATCCAACAGAGTAGCAGTTTTAGGGGGTATATTAATAAACATTATAAATATTAATATACATATCAGTAAATATGTTTTTTAAAGGTATTTCTCATGAAAATGAGAAGCAGACTGATTTTTGCTGGTCTGGTGTCTTGCAGTAGTTTTTTCAGCACTGTACTTCTCTTACTGAGCAGTAGGCACCAGTTTATGAAAGCAATATGGAAGATATTTTAATCCAAGGCAGTACAGTGACATTTCTCTGATTTTTTTTTTTTTTTTTTTTTTCATCTGAAATTGAAAATGAGCTCTTTGAGCTTCTGTATCCAAAATGAAATGAGGCTCTATTTTAAAAGTTGTGTCTGTCTGTGTGCTTTCCGTTTAACAGGCAGTATATGCCATATTTGCAATTAGCAGCTTTGGCATCCTCTTTGATGTGTTCTAATAAGCAGTGCAAATATAAGCTTTCCCTGATCAGTTGAGTGGGAGTCCTGTAATAAGCTTAATATTAGAAATACTGTATACACAAAGATACAACTTTAATTCAGTGTTCTTCTTGTGTTATATAGTCAGTGTTGGTGTTTGCTAACATCATGGAAGAGAAGATGGAAAAGATCGATCTTTCTCTCAAATGTTAGCATTCTGTTTGATAACAGAAGTATCACACCTGTGTTTGAGGCTACAAACTTGCCCCAAGAGCCTCTTGTTGTGTAGAACCTCCGTGTTCTGAAGGGAATAATAGTACCAGCGTACCCAGTAATTCTGGAGTTTATCAGAATCTTCAAAGTGAATTTTTGTATTTTTTTAAATACATGTAAACAAGATTTATACTTAAAAATAAATTATTTCAAATGTGTCTGGGCCCATATTCAAAGGTTTTAAAACTTGTAGTATCAGGTGGTACACATTCATTAAATTAACCACTTAAGACTAAAACAGGATAGATTTTTCTAAAGAATACTCTTAGAAAAATTCTGGGTACTTTTTTGAAAATTATAATAGCACATTTTGTTTGTTTTTTAAAGAAAGACCCCAGTATTATAGGTATATTTAATAACTGTCCTTAGGTACCTGTCTTAACTTAGTCACTTGAATTTTTCTTGACATCAGAATTACTGTCTTACAGTAGCAAGAGGATAGTGCGTAGTAAAACGTCTTTCAAATACGGAATAAAATTTTGTTCACATGTGGTTTATTTATATGTGTGTGTGTATATATATATTTATTTTTAAAAAAAAAAACCAAGCAAAATCTAATCCAGTATCCTGGTATTTTCCTGTAGCTAATTTTAAGCCATGTGTGTTAATCCGGTGTTATGAGAATGTAAAGCTAGTTTTTTTTCCTCTTTGCAGTGCCCCAATGCCCTACCTCATTGGAATACATTTAAGTTTGATGGAGGTAAGTCTTCCTCACCATTTTTGAAACTATATATAGTTTTATGATTTAGAGCCAAATTCTGCAGGCAATTATACATCCATTCATATGCTTAAAAATGAAATAATCTTGTTAATTTGGGAGTGCTGAGAGAATTGAAGATAAGCATACATGAAAATGTTAAATCTTAAGGGAGTCTCATTTGATCCCTTATACTCTTTGGGCATACTTTCTGTTTGCAGTTCAGCAGTCAGTGACGAGCTCACGTTCTGTTCTTCTCTCCATCCTGTTGCTCAATTTAATCAGTTTACTGCATTAGTTTGACTCTGTACTCACAAAGGCAGAGTCGATATTAAACCAAAATGTTGACAGTAGCAGTTCTCTTTTCAGCTTTTGCAGACAGATTGTAATTTTTTTAATGTTCAGAAGATCTGAAAAGAAGGAACTTGCTGTTAATGTTAACACAAAGCTGGCAGAAAACCAGCCCTTAGAGAAAGCTTCACATATAAACAATTCAGAGTAATTCATGTGACTTTTTAAAAACTCTAAAAGTGGAAATAGCGCGTTTGCTTTTGCTTCCAGTACTGGTGAAACAGTTGATGACTTCCCTCAAAAGTATCTGGAGGATGACATAAGCTATTAATTTAGATCCCAGTGAAAATCCTGGTCCTTATGAATTGTGCCCCTTTACACGGGAAATCTGAACAACGGGTGTAGGCTCCGTGTGGGAAGAGGTATCCTGCCCAGAAAGCATTGCCTCTTTGTAGGCTCTTGAATTAGCAGGCAGTGTTGAACTGGTAGGAGTTGCAAACACCCTTGAAAGTTAATTGACTTGTGTCCCTGTTTTAGATACCCGTGTTTGGAAATTCAGGCTCAGTGTTTAGGATCCATCACAACTTACAAAGCTGAGTTTTACACCACAGAAAGTAATTGTAGTACTAGAATATTTGTTATGTTGTCAAAAATATGTCATTTCTCCGGAAATACTGATAAAATGTATTCTTTCACTAGGTTTTATGTATGTAATAATGATGATCCTCTGTGTCTTTGTGTGTTAAACTTAGACTGGTATGCTGTGGAACTTCCCCCTGTTTTCAGTGTTAATGTGAAATAATTTTAGAAGTCACTTCTGTAAGAAGCTAGACAGAATATGCAGGACCTCTTTTTTTCTTTATTTTGCTTACTATCCTGGGTACAGATGATTTTTTTTTATGCCCTTTATATTGCTAAATAAAGTACAGAATCACAGTACAATGTGTTAGTGAACAAGCAATTATTTTAAAAGTCAATATGTACACTTGTTTGCACATCATACACTTACACTAGAGGGTTTCTTATTATCCTTGAATATTGCATAGACAGGACCAAAGTAATAGCTAGGAAGAAATAGTCTAGCATATTTTTTCATATTGATCAAGAAAACTTTCTGCCCCGTATCTGCACCAGGTGATCATTGGCATGTTGCTTATAGTATCTATCTCTTTGAAAAAGAAGGAAGAAGCCTGGTAGAAAGTGGGATGACGTTTCAATACAGATACTTGTCAGCTTTCACAAATATTTTTGCTCATAAAGAGCTACGTGGTTAGCCTGGCAATGGGTATAGAAAAAAATTAATAATTATACCTTGGAGTAGCTTTGCATGATGTCTCACTCCTGCCTTGCTACATAAACCCATTACCTCTTCCTTTGTCTCGGTTTTTCAGATTGCAGGGCTCTGTAGGCCTTCCAAACTCCATCTGTAAAAACTCAAAAAAAGGAGTTGTTCTTGGAGAAGCCAATTTTCATCCATTTTAGTAACTTGTGAAAAAATCTGTTTAGTACTAAATCCAGTATGGCTTTTGAATAGCCGGAGATTCTGGAACACAGACACACTTTGGCAAAGTACAGTTATTCAAAGTGCCTTATGAAATAAATTAAATAAATAAAACAAACTGTCTTCTCTCTTCCCTCTGCTCTTAAGGATAAATTGAATACTTCCAGAAAGAAATGCATCTTCCAGCTAGCTGTGCTTTCTTCCATTGAAAAATAAAATAAAATCACAGTGAGCTATTGTATCTGTTTGTTGGCAAGTACTGCATAATTTCTCTGTGCCTTGGGCAAAGGAAAGGTGACATTTGTCAAACGAGCTAGACAATTACTTGTTTACCTCTTTGCCTGTTTTTGATGCTGAAAGTTTGCTCTCTTTGTCTTTTTGCTTCATATGTAGGAATAAAATTGTGTGTTTTATTTGTTAGAATAACAACTTGATAGCAACAGCGATTTTATTTTTTTTCCCATGATCTAGCAGTTGTGTATTATAAAAAATACAATGTATTAATTTTCCCATATCAAAGTAATTTTATAAACTACAACTGAAAACTACTCTCATTATTCAGTATTAATTATTCTTTAAATTCTGAAATTTCAGCAAATAGATCTTTAAGGCGTTTTGTTAATCCACGTGTTCCAGTTTCAGGTTAAGGGATTCATTTCCCAGTCTTCTATTCAAGTTAAGGCAGGTGGACTCTTTATCTACTGTAGAGCCCCATGGGGGTAATTGCAGTTATGTATATGCTCATGGTTCTGCTCCAGCAGCTCCGGTTGCAGAGTTTGTCATTGTAGCGTAAATGTTAGCGAAAGCCTAAACTTGTGCAGAGAAAGCAGTGGTGTAAAGGGGAGAGTAAATTAAGAATGTAGGAAAAAAATCATTTTCTAGCTTTAGTGTTGTTTCTGTGGATTTTTGATATTCCTATCTTGGAATGGGCCCTCTGGAAGAAATACAACAGAAATGTTAATGGTTTTAAACAAAATACACCCTCTATCTCACCTCGAAAGGTTTTGTCCAAACCATTTTGTATCTTAAAGTTAGGTTGCAGTTTCCCATGTTACAAGGGGTCTCTGTAGAAGGAGCAGTTATTTTAATGGAAAATGACAAATTTTTCTTATGATTAAAATATCAAGCATATCCATTGACTGTTAAATCTAATTTGCTGTGACTGAAGTGTTCTCCAGTGAGATAAGATAATCTCCTGTTATAGGTCAGAGGGCTCCAACTGATTTATGAGGGAAAATCTTGGTAGAAAATACAGAGCTGTGTTTTGTGCTCTTATTTTTCAGCTTTTCTATCATCACCTAGTTAGTCATTCTTTATAAGATTTCCATTTAGCAATCCATAAAGTGACTTCAAAGAAGGCTAAAAGTTTATAAGCTGTTGGATAAGCAAGGCTGGAGCTATCACATGAATAATGGAACATGCTTACGGAACTAATTGAATTCATATTAGATGAAGATAAGTACTTAGTACTGATAAATAATGAGATAGGAAAATGAAACTCTATCAAATGAACACATCCCTTTCATAATCTTGTTTTATTTTCTACCTGCATACCGTATGCTGTTTTAGTGTTCAAATTATATTAAATTGACCTTTGTGTTATAAGTGGTGTCAAAGTTAGCTGGCAGCCTTTTACATTTTGTCATAGTAAACGGTTGTTTCAGCAACTGTTTCTGTAGGAAAGGTTATTAGTGTGATGGTGCTGATGGAAGAGAAATGCCCTTGACCTAGTAGACTACCTATTGGAATTTAGGCACATGTGGTTTTGATTAACCAGCGGGGATAGTTCTGTTTAGCTGTCAGACACGGAGCTGCTGGCAGCATACTCCTCTGTGCCAGGCTTCCCGTCATTCAGGGAATAACAACGCCCACCCTTTTCATGCTCTATTTGGGCACAAAACCAACCTTTAGAGTTAAAGTTAATGATTAGGAAAGTACTTCTTACACTTTTTTTTTTTAATATTCCAGTCCCTCAAGGACTTTCTCTGGGACTTCAGAATTTTATTTCTTGCAAGATTATCCAGAATGAATTTGTGTGTGAAACTTCACATTGCACTGATCAAAATGATTTCTCTAGCATTTTTCCTAAGCGTAAAGGACAGCTGTGCATATCGTAAACCCTATATGAGCTGATTTTTGTTTTATTTTAACCTGGTATGAGTAAATAAGTTCATGTTAGGGAAAGAAGATTCACTAAAATTCGTGCAGTGTTTAATACGGTAGGAGGCGGCGGCTGAGCCCACGTAATGCCGATGGTCAGTTCCTTCCAGAGGCAGACGAAGGGGAGGCTGTGCGTTCAGCGCTCCGAACCCCCCCCACGCATGCGGGAGCCGCTCCTGGGCCTCTTTACCTGGTGGTTTTTCAGGTCGATGCGAGGACGCTCGGGTTGTGACCCACTCTGATGGCACGCCAGTTGGCACGCACGGAGCCTGAGCTAACGAACTCTGAGAAACGGGTTCCATCAGCTCGGGCTTAGTGCTGGCAGTGCCGCGTGGTTTCCCCTTGCCGCAGAAGACGCCCCGAGAATTCACTGACCGCTGGCGTTTTCCAGTGGCAGTGTTAATTGTATTTTCTGATTGGGGTGAGGAGTAATATGTAGCTTTTTCCATCCATTTATACTCAGTGGATCACTGCCTTTTCTAGCTATAATGGAAGTGTAGCTTTTTTAATAGGGTTTAAATGGAGCGGTTGTATATACATACATATGCATATATATATACACGCTTATATCCAGTTCTTAAAATAACTAAATGTAATTTAGTCACAAGTGTTATAAATATGGCTCTGTGTGGTTTCAGGAGTACTGATAAAATTAATTTTAAAATATAACAACTTACCTATGGAATTGCCTTTTATCCAATTATTGGCAAAATGCAAATAATACCTGTTTTAAGAAGAGCTTCTGTGTGTTTGAGGAGTCAGTTTGAAGACAGACAAGTACTGCGGTGCCAAGCGGACTGACCAGTAAGCCCAGGAGGTTTTTCTTCTGTTGCGCGCCAGTGCTAGGGCAGCACTAGTGACGTTTGTCACTCAGTTGGCGGCAGCTGCCTGCGATAAGGATCTTGGGAATCACCTGTGCAGGATCAGGGTCCTGCACATCAGGGTTGGGCGATGGGCGGAAGAGTGGGAGATGCACGGGGGGGGGCAGCAGCCCACCTGCTGCGCCCAGATCAAAGGGCTGAGAGGGCAGGGGGCACATCCAGCCTAACCAGATTTGTCTGTTGAATAGCTATTTCAGATTGTAAATCTAAGGGTGATTTCATTAAGTCCTTCTGGCTGCTGTTGGGGCATGAAATAATAAAATTTTATATCCGTTGCCTTTCCTGCTTCTGGCAGCCAGATTGACACATTGTTGTCTGCAGTGTTGTGGTGTTTTTCTTAAGAAAGTAAATGGAAACTATTAACTGAGTAGAGACAAGTCATTAAGCAAATGGATTTTAGACTTGTTGTGAATCATACTTGCATAGTAATTTCAAATATTATGTACAAACTAGTTACTAAGAATGTTAGTTTTTAAGAGTTTTACCTTTTCAAAAGAATTGGTGGAAGGTATGCTTTGTTTTTTGATACAGCATTTTTTGCTCCATTGATCACATTTGTATCTGGTTATGAAACCTCATGATCAACTTGGTTTATGTTTTGACACCAATTTAGCAATGAAGTTATACAAACCTGTTTGTTGGGGGGAAGGAGGGTGGTGGTGATGTGTTTTGCTTTTTAGCTGAACTATTCAATAAAATTGTTCATCTGAAACAAGTTTAACTTGGAATTTTTTATGGTGGGAAATGCAAAAACTGCCAACTGTAGACAGTAATAATAAAATAACATTTAGTATAAACTGGTGTTAGTATTATTGATGAATATAGTTTCTAGCATGTGATCTGAGTGAGAGAGAGGAGCACCCCTTACTACTTATATTAGAATGTAGTTCCTCGGTGTTTTTGCAAACTTTCACATAAAACATTTAAATTACTTCAAGTGTTTGGCCGCTTGTGAGCGGGACAGATGCACTAACTGCTGCTTATTTACTGACCTGGTGTTTAAGGCCCCCTGGAGTTTGTTTGAAAAGTTAAGAGATTTTCACAGTAAAGGTGCCATTTCTGAAATTTAAAGTGCTCTTTTCACCAGGAGATAAGTTCTCTCTGATTAAGTCAGTAATTCTTACTAAGCCATGTTTATAGAGGCCATAAACAATGGGTTCAGTGTGCTTGTTAAACCAGCTTTCCATACCTCTCCACTCTTTTAAAAAGAGACATTTAAAATAAAAGGCAGGTGTAGATGTTAGTTCGATTTGATGGTTTTTAGATGATTAATTATGGCTACAAGTAATTCAGTAAGGATGGTTAAGAAAGGTTTGCAGTAGTGATATGTGATGCATGTTTTCACTGAATCACTTCTTTTGACTCAGCAAATCCCTAGTCTGTACTAAAATTAGATAAGGAAACTGTAATGTTCCTATTTCCTCTTGTTCTTTGCTTCTCCACATTTTTTCAGTAAAATATGAACATACTGAATATAGTCCATTCTGTTTAACAGGTAGCATTTCATTTTTAAAATTTTGTTTAGCTACTGAGGTGGCTGTGACATATGGAATGTGATTGTGTATGGCTTAGTGGCTGTCCCTTTGTATTTTGAGAAAATAATGACAACATGCAAACTGTACCTGTGAAAATATCAACATGTAGTTGTGATTCATAGGGTCCACTGGGATTTAATGCAAGAAATTCAATTGGATGCTGAGAACTTTTACTAGATTTCCAACAAGAGAGTAAATACTTTTATTTCCAGGTCAGCCGGGCTGGTAGGTACTATGTTTAGTGAAAGAACGGTGTGATTATTTGACAAAAGCCCTTATAAATATCTGATGATAGCTTTATCAAAGATTATAGTGATAGGAAAGATGATAAAACTAGATAAGGATTAAGATAAACTGGTCTGTCTGCATTTCTCTAGGATGGGCCACATTTGGACCATTGAAAAATGTATTTTTTCAAAGGCATTGCAAGACAGATGCTATAAATCAAGTTAGTCTCAAGCGTTTTATTATATTTGAGGGTTTGTCTCCAGGGAAATCCACTGTCTTAATACAAATATCGAGAAATTTTCAAGGAAGGTTGTGCTCTTCACCAGGTAAAGGCATAACACAGCATGCCTTATATTTAATATCAGCCTTCCTTTTGGGTACAGCTATTTCAGGGCCATGTGTGGAGGTGATTACATTGATCAGCATTTGTAGTCCTTGCACCATGAGCAAGGACTTTCATACTACGCTCCTTGGCAGGCATCTGCTTGTCACAAGCCTGTTCTTTGCTACAGCAAACCCCAACATTTTGCTAAAGGGAAGGTGCAGATTCATCACCAAAGTTACAAAAACACCCCTTGACAAGTTCAAGCACATGTTTGTTGCTTCTTTGGCAAGAATCAAGAGGTGGTTTTAATTCCTTCTGTCTTGTCCTACTAGCACTCAGTTTTGACAAGCTTCTGGCTTTGGTTAAGTACATTGCAAGACCTTTTTGTTGGAGCTTTTAGACTCCTCTGAGTATAAGTGAGATTTTTAATTTTCTGAAACAGGAAGGAGCAAATCAGTTTGTCTGGTGCTTCCGGACTCCTAGAAGGAGCAAGACTCCTGGATTGCTTTAGAGTTTATCAGATGCAGCCAACAGAGTGACCTTTGGTTCCTGAAATGTAGAGGAAAGTACCTGGTTTGTCACGCAGTACTTGTGCTTTTTATATGGAAAACATTAAATGTAATATTCTTCCATTAAAGTTAAAGAAATTTCTCATGGAAGACCTAAACTTAAATGTCTGCAAAGTGGTTTTTATAGTTGTTGGCTTTTTCTTTCCCCCCCCCCCCCAGTACACAGCAGTTTTCTTTATAGACAGAGGACTGAGCCTTGAAAACTGAAGGTAATTATTTAGATGCCTAAGGCTCAGCTTTGCCATTGTTTTAGAGCTTTAGTTCCTTTCTTTTAAAGGAAACAATTCCCCCCACCCTGCAAAACCTTAATTAAAAATTGAGTATGTTTTTGTTCATTTTCCTCTACAGTAATTTTCATTTGGTCTTACGTATAGGTATGTAGGTACTTAAATGTTTGTTTACAGTGTCACTGGGAAATTTCCTTAATTAACATATTCTATAGTTCTACTTTTTCTGATTTTGTATTTTCAAAGCTTTATTTGAGGAAGGCTTAAATATGTATGATTAGTCAGTCAAGGGAAAAAAAAAAAGATTCAATTCTCTCCCGTTAGTGGAAAAAGTGTTAAAATAAATATTTAAATGCTGCTCTGTTTCATATCAGTGATTTCTTTACTGTTGTTTAAGCAGGGAAATAAAGTCTGACATGTTTAAATTTGCTTAGATCACCAGTGCCTTTAGACACTTAAAGTCAAAGGTACTAATGATCATTCTTTTGAGAAATAGGTTATGCTTTTCTTTTGTATGTCCATATACTGTTACAGAAGATGTTAACACTCAAACTAAATTAGAGACATTTCTTTCTCTCAATTCATGGGAAGAAGATAAAAAGTTTAGACTCGCTGAACTTTTGCTGAAGAGACCAGGATATGGTGGAGTAATTCTCTCTTTTTCTTTTCTTTCACACCCCCCACCCCTCCCTTTATTTATTTATTTAGTACTGTCCATTCTACTTCCAGTTGTAAACTTGTCTGTATTGGGGTTCCAAAATTCAACCTGGAATTTGGAAACCGATTCTCATCCCTGACTGACTTCAACTCTTAACTCCTAGAAAAGCCACTGCTGCTATTTAATTAATTTAATTTCTAAATATAAAAATACATCCTTGAATTCTTGACTCAGCTAGAAACTGCTAAATGTGCAAACAGGATACCAGAATTAAGACAAACATTAATAGAGGTGCTTGAAATAGATCTTCACTTGAATGATCACAAACAGTAACTCTCTGGTTTCAAAAATTTCAGTATGCACAGTGTGAAGAACTTCCCTCTGCAAATTGGAGGTTGTTTTTTCAGCTTTGTAAAATGTGAAATACATAAAACAAATGATGACAGAAAGACAGGAATGTTGATTGTTTTTAAAATGCTTGAAATTTTGTGATGCTGTGATGTTATACCATCACTTGTGTCCTTTACGCATAAAATTTTAACTCTTCATACTTATATTTTCATTTCCCTTTTCTTGAATTTCCTCATACTTAGAAAGTAAGAAACATGGCCCTGGAAGATGTAGTGATTCTTAATGTAGACACCAACACACTGGAAACCCCTTTTGATGACCTTCAGAGCCTTCCTAATGATGTGGTATGTATGAAATGATTTACCCAACTATTCCATTACTTGAATGTGTAAATCCTTTTGACCTGTTCGGTTTGTAACTGAGGTGTCTCGTTGTGTTACTCTCGTTATTGTAAGTAAACTTCTTTACCTCAATTCTTTCCTGTTTTGAAGTATTAAGGAATGTTTCTTTGGACATTTGCAGACATATTTTTAAGCCTCCTAATGAATATTAGCTAATGCTTACATAAGCTGGAAACACTGCAGCAACCCAGTTTTGGTTTTGGAATGGCATGATCAAGTTTTAGGTCTCCTAAAGAGTTAGTCTTTTATGGGTAAAAGAGGCAGATGAAAACCACGCAGGTTATGGTACATCTGAACAGGAGACAAAAATTCAGACTTCTTTCTTTGTGGTGTGAAAAAGTACTACTATTTTAAACCATCTTTATCCATTCCATTAGGAAAACAAAATCCTGCATTTTTACATAACTTCTGTTTCCAAGTGAAATTGTGTGGGTTTCTTTCCTGTGATGACTTCTAGGTGAGCTTTAGTGAACTTTGTGCATTTTATATCCTGAGTTATGATATTAAGTGGACCACTTCATATTCCCTTCTGGCACTGCTCAGTGCATATAATTCAGAACTTACTTTCATTCTCATTCAATCTTTTTATTGGTAATTTATTTATTTTTTAATAACTTGGTAGAATCATTGTATAAATACTTGATCTTCCCCTTCAATGGGACAAAAATACATCCAGCTTGGTACTTGCTGCTGTAATCGTCTTCACTAAAGAAGCTGAGAGGGAAGAGCAGTAAAGTGAGTAAGAGTGTAAAAAGCTATTTTTAAGTCAGAGGGTGACTGTTAAGGAAAAAAACGACAGCGAAAAATCTGGATTTCTTTTACTAGTTCAAAATATTGTGCTGACAGTTAGATCTATACCTTTTTATGTGTAGCTGAGAAATAAAATTGATATGCAGGGAGCTCAATATAAAGCTGTTCTGTTTGAGGAAAAGCTCAAGTAATGGTGAGTACCCAGTGCCGCCTCCTGTGACATCCCGTCATTTCTCTATGATCTGTGGTGTGATCCTTTCTTCGAAAACAGTGAGCTCCGGATGAAAGGTCCATCTTGAATGTGAACATTTTGGCTTCAGCCAGGCATTTAGTCCATAAAAGTTACTTCCATGAATTTTCTGGCTTTATATAGTTTCTCATTTTGATTTGGCTCCCAGCATCCAGATCTGCCAGCTGGTCATCGCTCCTGCCGTTATCCCAACCCGGGAATGACAGACTTGTAAATGTCATGGAGTTATGTAAGAAATGTCTGGATACAGGGAGTGTGGGGCCTCAAACATGTATATGATTTGTCAACAATCAAGTATTATATTAGATTTTATGAGACTTCATTAAAGGAGCTGTTGTAGGCGCACTGTAGAACATCAGAAGAGACTTTACCAATAAACACAGAACTTCAAGCTTTGGAATGTAATAAATTTTAAGAGACTTCCTTCCTTTCATTATTTACTTTTACTTCACTTTTATAACAGTAGAGAGTTGTGTTTTATTAGTTCAGATTTCTTGATTCAGTTTTCCACAGGTCTATTTAAAAGCTACATTTTATCTTGGAGGATGTTTGGAGCATAGCAGAGGAAGTGCTGCCAGCAAATTCAATTAACTGGCATGGCTCACAAATAGTGTACATGGTGTATTTTTTTTCACAACTGCTATATAAATACAGCTGGGATTAATATTTGTCGCAACAAAGCCTTAACTTGAATCGTGTTGCGTTGTGTAATTAATGTTTGGGATCAGTGTTTATGTCTTATTTAGCTTTGTTTCATTATTTTAGTTACCTAGATAATGAAGTATTTTCCTCTAGGTCTTTTCCTTTCCTTCAGACTGCTTAATATTTGGCTTTGACCACTAGAGAGCAGCTGCTCTTCTTTGCAAGAATTGAATTTCTGTCAGTTCTTTCATGCATCATGTGTTTGGAACTGTAAGTGGATCAAGTTGTTCATCTCAGCAGGGAGACTCTAAAGCCAATCCATTATACTTTTTTCTTTTTCTTTTTCTTTCTTTTTTTTTTTTTTTCTTTCTTTTGCTTCCATGGGAGGATGGGGAGATTCTGGGAGTATGTCTCCCCACTGGTCTCAGTCTAAATAGATGCATTTATGATATGAGAAACTAAAAGTGTCTTCAACAGTTTCATGATCATAAACGGCTGTTACGTCAAACTATTCTGCCAGTTTTGCTACCTAATGTGAACAGTGAACAATTCACACGCTGCTGAGTAGACACAAAATTTACTTCACTAAATTAAGTCTTTGTTCAACAGTGAGAAAAACCATCTTCTGATGCATTTTCATTCTGATACATTTTCCATCAGGTAATTAATCCAGGGAAAACTTTTTAAGCTGTTTTCTCCTTCTCCTTGAACAGCTTTTTTAATCAAGTAAATGAGCTCCTAGGACTATTTTAGAGCTTCAGGTAGTGAATTGTGCTTGAGATTCATGACAGTGATGTTGCTACTTAAACTGTTGATTCTTGAGAATCTAGAATGAATTATTCTTTAATCTTTTACTCCTAGGATCCAGAAAACATAGGCTACCGTGAAATGTTTTCCAGTTAACATTTCTGTCAAAGGAGGTGGATAGCACTGAGACAGTTCCAGCAGAATCAGATTAAGTAATTTCTTTGCCCTGGTTTTCCTCAGCAGTACCTGCTAGCAGTCAGACTTCCTGAACTGTTCAGGTCAGGTCCCTGAAACTCAAGGTGTGCACTATTGCGTTACTGATTAACTATTTGAAATGTGAAAAATTGTCCCTCCTTCTGCTTCTGATGTTGCTGAAAATCTGGCAGCATGAGAACTCCCTGGGAAGTAACTTTCCTTTTAAAATAGTCAATATTAAAAAAAGAGATTTATTAAGGACTGTGATTACAATAAGTGCATCTGCTGCTGACAAGTCTCCTACACCACCGTCTGTGTTGCAAGGAATAGCAAAGAGGGGGTAGTAATTTTTTTTTATGCAACCCTTATGGATTTTTCATGTATTTCCAAATAAGTGTCATCTTCTAGTCATAGTTGTAGTCAGAGCTTCATATTACAAGGAATAAAGCATAAGCTCGCTCTGTCAACTTGTAGTTTTTATTAAATGAAGCCCTGATGCAATGCAGTGTACTGCGCCAAAGAGATCTTGCATATCTGATGGCTGTGAGAGTATTGTAAATTTGCACTAGCCTATGAATATCTTAGGCTTTCAGTATTTTAGTTGTGTATGCTACTGTTGTCCATTCATTAACAAGTTACCACAAGTAGGAAGCGTACGTTACTGTTTTTCACTTAGTGGGAAATTAACTGCTTTCAGGACAGCAAGAAGTACTAAACTGCAACTGTGTAGCAGAACCATTTTCTTAAAGGTGAATCCATTTTTATTTCTTACACTGTGTTTGCAATAGAATGTTTCTTGCTTTATTCATGTTGACAACTGAAAAGCCTTGGACCTAATTAAAAGAATTTCCACTAGCACCTTTACTGAACCATTTCATTATGCTGCATTGCACAGATTGCATTTTGAAACATGGTGATAGTTTAAATCTGACCTTTAAACCTGAACTGCCAGAAGTATAAAAATCTTCTCTAAAAACACTCTCAGGGTAGACTGCATGTATATGTGTCTATTTGGCTAGCAATAATCTTCATATTGAGTGGTCACAGTCTTATTATTTTTAAAGTATTACTGCCTCTTTAGGCAGGAAACAATCATAATTATGTTTGTGTAATCTACTTTGCCTTACATACTAATTTATTCCAGAGTAAACATGAATATTTTTTTCTTACTTGTTAGTCTCTTTTTAAATATGCTGTTGTTAACATTTTCTTTTTTAAAAAAACATGACATGCTTATTTCAATAAGCCCGATTGAAAGAGTAGAAGTGCACATATAGAAAATGGACATCCTACAGTGTTCAATTTAGTCTTAGAAGAGAGCAAATGATGTGACATCTTAAGGAACTGGCAAAATACCTATCCATGTTCTGCTTCTATACCAAACAGGGAAGCTGAAACACAGAAGGGCTATGACTAGGAATTGAACATTTTGTTTGTTGTAAAACAAAGCATAGAGCCGTTTCCTTCTATATAGATGGCAAGTTATTTATCTTCACATGAATGTTTAAAGAAAAACACTAATAAAAATGTTTGAGATGGATTTGGAAGTTACACAGAGAGATGGACATTTTATTGTACTTTTCAGAACGACCTTTAAATGGTTTACATAAATTAATATAGGAAATAAACGCATATTTCATCCCTGTGACATCAGACCCCTTCAAATGTGGAGGGATGTGCTGTTTGGGATTGAAAATCTGATGAAGCTTTTACATTTTGAGAATAACAGAGCTCCGTGAGAGACATCATCTCAGAAAAAAGAAGTGACTTATTATATGGGCATGATAGATTAAATCTATTATCATGTATTATGTTAATATGTGCTTATGGACTCATTAATGCATGGATCATTGGCATAAGCCACAGCGTTCAGATTTATAAACAATGCTGGACACACTCTTGATTCGTTCTGTTATATTAAGTAACTGTTATGAAATACCTTCTACAACAGCATCTGCAGAAAATTTAAAAGGAAATGTCTTTGCAACTGTTTTGGTAAACACAAATGCAAATATAACATCATATCTGAAAAGATAAAAAAGTAGTGCACAGTGTGGATTTTGTATTAAACACCTAGATAGCAAGATGAGAAGTCACTTTCCTGCCTTCCCCGAATCTAAGAGTACTGAAGGAGGAAGTGCCAGATGTACTTACCGGAGGGATAAAGCTAAAGCACTCAAGAACAGTTGTTCAGTAAAATCAGCCTGACATTTGCTACTAAGGCAGGCTGGTAGCAAAACCCCGAGGCAGAAGAAACTCAACTCATCTAGTAGGATTTTGGAGATACGGATGAGGCCAGAATAAGCTTTTGTTGTAAACTGGAGGATATGGGGAAGGTCTTGAAAGTTAATCTGAACAATTGAACCATCAGCTTGTGTTTTATGAGGTATTATTCATACCCTCATAAAACAGTTAGTTATGTTCACTGCAACAGAATCTGCTTGCTCTGTAAATAATATTCCTACGTTTCTTGCACAGCGTGTAGTATATAGAGCTACCTCAATGGAGTTTTTCAGAATAGAATTTGAAAAAGGAAGTTTTGCTAATTGTTGATAGAATTATTCCTGTAAAATTCATAATATGGATCTTTATGGAGTCGTTGATATTCTTTGGTAAATCAAGATGACTAGGGATTTCCTGTCTTTCTGATTTCCTTCTGAAATTGTGGCTCCTTCCTATCTTCTGCTTAAGGTGTCTCATCAAATTTGGGTTTTGCATGTGACGTGACCTCATCCTCTAAAAGTGCTAGCTGAATTTCTTTTAAGAATCAGTGACCAGGCTGTTGTTTTTGTATTCCTGTGTGTTGGTGTGAGATTTGTCTCAAAAACTTAGCTTGTCCTTGTTCTGTCTGCAACACCAAAAAATTGCTGCTGACATAACTATTTGTTAATGGCTTAACGTAACCTGTAACCGCTGCAGCACAAGGCACAGCAAGCTTGATGTTAATCTTTGAAAGTTGTTTTTTTTTATCTGCTTTCCCAGCTTGTGTTTGAGAAAGAAAAACGCTGTCACTAACAATAATGTATAGATACACAACCTTACTTCAGTAGTTACTGAGCTCTGAGCACTAGAAGAGAGACATCAAACTAAGTCACAACCTTCTTGTATATATGAGAAATTCTGAAGCACAGAGAACAGTAATGGATAATCCTCTAAAACTTTAGCCCTTGGTGTACAGAGAAAACAAAGAATATTCAGGTAACCTGGATCATGGTAGTTTTAACTCTGCCTGCGTAAAAATGCGTTTAGTTGATATTTGCTAAGTTGTGCTCTGTAAGTGTCTCTGTAAATGGTAATGAGACCGTTAGGGCTGCGTTTGCCTGAAGTGCAGCTCTGTGAATCCTGAGGTAATTAAACACCTCCACAGTGGAAGGGAAAGGGCAATGAGGGTTAAGAGAAGAGCCGTCCTGCACACAGGTGGTTTAGATCTCTTGAGAAACAGGAAGGAGAAAAAAACTCCAGCAGACAGAATGTTGTTGTTAATTTGAGACTTTTTTTAAAAAAAAACCTGCAGGTTTTGTTTTGTGGATTGCATTGGGTGTCCGCGGCGAGGTGCTGGCAGGAAGGCTGCAGGCCCTCAGCGCAGGGAGGCCGGGGCAGGCCCCAGCCGGGTCCAGCCGGCTCCTCAGCAGGCGGGGCTGAGCCCCAGCCCGCCGGCCAGGCGGCCGCAGGGCTCTCAGGGCCCATGTGAGAGAGGGCAAAAGGCCACGAGGCAGAGTGAGGAGAGTAAAGGTGTGAGGTGGAAGGAGCAGCAGAGAGGAACCGTCCGGGCTGAGCACGAGCCCACCGCCCTCGGCCTGCGCCGCGCAGGGAGGAGGTTGGGGACTCGGGAATGGAGGTGAGAGTTGAGCTGGGAAACAGGTCGGGGGGGAGGAAGGTGTTTTAGTTTCTGTCTTTGCTTCTCACCATCTAACTCTATTTTAAGTGGCAATAAATTAAATTAATTTTCCTAAGTTGAGTCTGGTTTACCCATGATTCTAATTGGTAAGTGATCTCCCTGTCTTTATCTCGGCCCACGAGCTTTTTCTTTATGTTTCCTCCCCGAGTCCTGCTGAGGAGGGGGAGTGAGAGAGCGGCCGGGTGGGTGTCTGGGAGGCAGCCAAGGGAACCCACCATATGCATAAATAAAACTCTCATTTTGTTGTTAAGTCGGTGAAATACAAGTGAATATAGCCTTAAAAGAAAAAAAAACCTTGTATTTGTGGTAAACAAATTTTTCAGACCTACAGAATTTGTTCTTAGCCTTGGTGTGGTGATGGATGGCCTGATTATGCAGGACAGTTTCTCTGTTAGTCTGATGTTTGAATTAATTTAGCTGAAATTCTTTCATGGATTCTAATCAAGAATGACACAGAACTTCATGGACTACCGTTAAAAGAGTACTCAACAGCATGTTAACGGCGGATTTTAAGTAGGAGGGAAGGTTGAAATGAAGTTTTTATTTTCCTCTTGGTTTCTGAATAGAATCCAGTCGTATCTTGGAGAAGCAAAACAGCTTGAAAAGTAATGCTTTTAAAACTGAAAACTTCAACTCTGAATTCACGATGTCACTTTTTGTCATAGCTGCTGCTGTGGTTAGCAAATTTTTCATTTAGCTGTGCCCCCCCCCCCCCCCCCCCCCCAATGTGTTAAGCTTTGTTTGTGATATGAGAGTGATCTGGACCTGTTGTGTGATTTCAGGTTTCTGCACTGAAGAGCAGACTGAAGAAAGTTTCTACCACCACTGGAGATGGTGTCGCAAGAGCGTTTCTAAAAGCACAAGCATCTTTCTTTGGAAGCTACAGAAACGCCCTGAAAATTGAACCTGTAAGTAGGAAATTAGTAGGCATGAGATGTAAATCTGCAGCTGTGTTGGGGAAAAAAGTTGTCAGGAATTCAAAGTATGGTATAATGTACTTCTGCGAAGGTCAGCATTGTGACTCTTTGGGTGATTAGTACTGAAAACAGTGTTCCAGTCTCCAAAAAAGAAAGAAGCGCAACAAGCATGATAATCAGAGGGAGAAAACTTCTTACGGAAAGGTATGGGTGTTGCTTGTTTTTGAAGACAGTTAAGTTAGAAGAAAAAAGATGATAAAAAAGTATAAAATAATGATCATAGGAGGCTAATGCAGAGTTGACCATTTTATCTCATTGCAAAACCTGGGTATTCATTGTATTATTTTTAAAGGTAGTAAAAGATACACTTTTTACACAATATAGGCTTAACTGTGAAACATGCAAATTAATGGAATCATGGAGTTTAAGAACATAATTAGTTAAAGAAATTGTGCTTTTACAGAAATGTGAAGAATGTCTGGAGTTGTAACAATTGACGATAAATGTTCTATTAAGGAAATTCAGTCTCTTGCTTCTGGTTCAGAGTTGATCTCTATTTAGCAATGATTAAGTGCCATCCGAGTGGGGGAAGGATTTTTCTGTACTTGATCTTGAGTTTTATTACTTCTAGTGAGGCATATTTCCTGGCTTACTGCAAGTAGCTTCATGGACTTCAATACAAATCAGTGCAGCCAAATTAATGTGTTTCCACATGGTTTGTGACACTTTGGTTTTACTACTGTGTACTTGGGGGTTCCTTTTAAAGTGTGTACATTTTGGTGATAGACAGAGACAGGGTAAGTAATATGAGGAACATTTGTAATTCATGAGATATGTCCCAGACATATGGGGGATAAAAAGTATTAACTGCAGAGTGATCCACAGAATATTTTCAAAATATTCTATGTTCCCTGTTTCTGAAGCAGGGGACACTAACACATGTGCACGTCAAATACAGTGATAAATTTCAGTGTGGTGTTCATGGGCTCATTTGAACTACTGTTGTTTAGATCTATGGCTGCTTAACAAGAAGATCTCTGTAGAGGACAAAACATTCTTCTGTCTTAATACCTTATTCTGTCATCTGCAACCACTTGGAGGCAGAACAGAAATTTGGTGGTATCAGTGGAGAGCTTGAATACCCCTGAGAGATGCTAAGATGAGTTCTGAGTGTAAGTGGGGAAGCTAAATGAGTGGAGTGAGAATGAAGGCTTACTAGTTGAGTAAAGGTGTTGTATATTGCATTCTCCTGTTCTGTGAAGATTAATGAAGACATCTGGCATGCAGACAAGTAATAAATCTAATTTTAATCATGATGTTAAAGGACAAGACCAGAGGCTGGACTATAGGCATAGTGTTTCTTGAGGTTGAGGATGTTTTAGTAACTAAAGTCTCTTCAATACCATAGTTTGTCTTGTTATTTTTTAAGCCAGAAGGGAAAAATAGCTCAGTTTGGATTGTAAACAGTCCAATTATCACCATCAAATAAGTATCATTTCAACAATTCATATTCAGTCTTCAAAAATGACTCTTGGTGTCAGCATGAGTCCTTCCACATCTTACTAGGGGAATCCATGTGTCATGTGTTGAAAAAATAAATTACATTGACTTGTGTATGTATGTCTGGGTGTAAGTATTGGGCTTTTGAAGCATCTAAGATGAAATAGTGGGAGGTATTTAATAAATTGTCCATATAAATAACAAAAATGAAACCAGCAAGGCACTCTGGCAGCAAGCCTCTTTCATCCATGTTGGGGAGACACTGACTTCCCTTCATCCATGCAGGCTTCCTTGTTCTCCAGTGCTCCTCCCAGTAGTTGCCAGGCAACTCTGGGAATATTGGTGTATTTGCCTGGATGTGTGTGTGAGTTTAACTAGTTAAGGGATTTATGAAGGAAAAAAAAATTTAAATTGCTTTTCTGGAAATGCCATCTGGTATTTTGAAGGCTGAATGTTAAAGATGAACATTCGGAATCAGTTGACAATGGCACATCCCTAGAAAGTGCAACTTCGAGGGACAGCTAGCCTGTGGAAGTAGAAGAAATGGTTTGATATGCTTATCATTCCATCAAAGAAAACTTGTAAATGTTATTGCACAAATATGACATAAAATCCAATTTTAATAATCAGGAAGTAGAAATTTTCAGGGCTTTCTTTCCCAAGTCCTATTATAAATCAAAAATTTAATTCCTGGTTATACATTTCAGTATTAAGATTTAGATAGATAAAATTTGTGTTTTATGTGCTGAACATGTCAGAGTCAAATGACCTGCATTCTGTTTCCAGTTTTGCCACAGACATCCTGTGAGGTATTGGACGGGTCATATAATTGCTTTATACTTCACTTCTGTTTTAGAATATGACAACAGTAAATGCAATTACTGAGAGACTCTTGTTACTGTTAGGAGCATTGCACTTAAAAATTAGTTCAAAACCGTTGGAAAACCTGATCTTAAGAAGATGCTGCAAAACTCCAAACTATAGTGTGTAATGAGTAAAACAATTAAAACATGTACTTCCTAAGTTCACAAAGGAAAATGTAATTTAATTGTAATTTAATAACAAAGCATCATAACTGGCAATTAGTAAGGCATCTTGCAATTTAAAGCCCTGCGTTTCTCTGTTGTGCTGTACTTTAAATGCTGCACCTGAAATAGTCTTCTGTACTCTCACGTAATTCCATCTTTTCACAGTGATTATGTTCATTGTTATTTCCTGTCAGCTGATGAGCTCAGTTTGCTGAGTTTGTGGATCATATACTAACAGGGGTTCAAAGTGGTCGTGATGCACCCCTTCTCATGTACCTATGGAATGGCAGACAGGAGTTTCCTGTTGAATAGTGGAAGAATATTAAAGTGTATGCAGCAACTCTTTGATTGCTCTTCATTGATTAATCAGAATCCACAAAGTGGATATGGCAGTGACTCATAATTTTCTTTAAAAGTTTAATGTCTGTTTGGAAAAACATTATTTTGAAACTGTTACTGGTGTAACAGTTACAAATAAAATTATTTCAGTGTGTCTGAGACAAATGGAAAAGCAAATGGAAGAAATAGCTTATAGGAAAAGAACATATTTTCACATACCTCCATTGTGTTATTTTTCTCTTATCACCTTCACAGGTCGTAAATATGGAACATAAGCAATACTGAACGTGATATGGTGCTTTGCACTTGATGTTCCATAACTCAAGAAATCTGTTCATTTAAAATCATTGATAATTATCGAAGAAGCAGCAGCTTTTCCTCCTCTCATAGTTTTTGTCTCATAAGACAGTTTAATTTCATAGGCCATCTCATCTGGTATGAGTTGACTTTTCGGGGTAAATGGTGTGAAGCTATTTTTCAGTATTCTGTTTAGGCCCAGAATGTGTCACACATCAGACTTTAAATTCACATTATAATTAAGCATAGTAAGAGCTCTTAGTCTATTCAGAAGCTTTTACTCTGAAGATACAAGGTTATGTAACTTATGTACAAAGCAGTACACTGACAATGAATGAGTTACTATTGCTGTAAACTTAGAGGCCTTCAGTAACTAGAACTTTTGCATGAAAAAACATATCTAGGTATACAGTCTGCAAGCCCAGTCATAAAATTTATGTAACAAAATAACTGATTCACTTGTTTCTACTGTGTATATGTGTTTTTCTGTAGTTGCGTTAAGCCAGATTTTAAGTATGGAAGAATATCTGTTCCATGTGAGGTACAGTCTCCACAAACCTCTGTTGCTATTAAGTACAGTAAAACACATTAGAAGCAGTGTGTTTACTTCATCTTTATGAATATTACTGGAATTTCTAACAGTGACACCAATGTGAGCATTTTCTTCACTTTAATGACTTCTTAAAATTCTTCATTTTTTTGCTGTTTGCAGAGGGAATGTTTTTATCTTCTAAATACTGAATTCACAGAAGTAAGTCATCTTCAACAGAAATAGCTGTATAATTACTATGTGTTTGTAAAGGTGGTCTGTAGTACTTAATAGTTGTGTGTATTTTGGTAACTGAGGGGGAAATGAGACTCCAATTTTCTGCATCAGGCGTTGGCTGTGCACTTTCTTCTGCTGACACCTAGTGGTTAGAGACAACGTTTAAGTGGTTTTCTTCCACAATCTTTGTTAAGAAACAAACATCCTCACACCTGCGAGTAAAGGTAAGCTCACGGTGTAGGCTGACCCAAAGCAGTAGCGTGTAGGGTATGCTGCAGTGCGACGTACTGGGTTTAGGTTTGCGATGCTTGCGCGGCTTGCCTGAGCCATGTGGGTGCTTTTTCACCTGCCTTGGGTATGACAGTTTAACAGCCAGCTCCAAGTTTGACGTACGGTCTTCTGAAATGAGAAGCTTTCTGTCTGTTCTCTGCGTATGTGGTCACTCCAGTGAGCTTTGCAAAGGGAATTGTGTGTGCTTAATACAGCATTTTCTAGCTTGACAGATTTGGAAAGCTTGTTTACTTGCACTTTGCTTTAAAATCTGTATATTCTGAACAGGTATTTCTGTTTCCACATCTTGGCTCCTTTTGTCTGTATTTCATTGCTATAAATACACTGTAAGATGAAAATTTCTGTGCTTATTTTTCTTTTGCAGTGCTGCTGCTTTTTATTGGATAATTAAAGGGGGATAATTTTAACATCCATAACCCAAATAGGTATGAGTGTCTAAGTGCTCCTTCAGGGAGTTTTCTCTTTGACTTTGCAGTTTTGCATTGATAACTTCTTATATTTAGGCACTGTAAAATTTGATGTCTCTTTCATGACACAGTGTACATGGTGTACTGAGGTGAGAGGTGTATGTAACGCGATGTGAGCTAAAGTAGCCTGTTCTATTTCTGATACACTGCCAAAGAGACATGTCAGTGCATGAGATTCTGGTGTTTGTTTGGATTCAAATCAAGATGTCTTGGTTTGTTTTTAAAAGGCTGATTTAGTTATTACAAATGTATTAATCTAGTTATTAAGGTGACAAACTCTGCATTCTTTGTAAAATGATTTCC